GGTTGGAAAGTTGTCTCTGGTTGCCTTCATGGGGGTAATATGCTTAACTCTTGATAGTTCAGGAGGACAACTTGCTTCAAAAATAATTCAAGGAGGCATTTTGCAATTATGTAATAAATAGTTAAGAGTTGTGCCTTTTTTTTTTTTTTTTTTGCACTTTTGCTTAGTATTTAATTAGTTGTTATATCATGTCAATATGTCATAAATTACGTGTGTATTAAGAAAAAATTATAATACTTATCTACTCACCACTGCTTAGTATTTAATTAGTTGTTATATCATGTCAATATGTCATAAATTACGGGTGTATTAAAAAAAATTATAATACTTATCTACTCACCACTTAATAGACGTGATCGGTATAATCACAAATACACACTTAATTTGTAATTACAAAATGAAAAAAAGTGATAAATAAGGACAATAATTATATATATATATATATATATATATATATTTTTTTTTTTTTTTTCTTTTTTGGAAATAACCAAGAACCTTGTGGCATGGTGATATTTTCTCTACTTTTCAAAATAAATAGTGAGGGTTGGAGTTCTCAAAGGGACAATGGACGTGTGAAAGGGTTGAAATTCTCAAAGGGACAAAGTGAGGTGAAGAAAAAAAAAAAAAGAAAAAAAAAAGAATAAATTCAGTTATCTTTCTGATTGCAAACTATGTGTATATTTGTGATTGGGCAAGTATTCTCCTAGGTAAAAAAACAAAAATGGCTGGCCTGTATAGGTAGGTGTTCTTATATTACCAACAATTATTCTCTTTTGGACCTCGATTCTCTGGGGCGAAATCGGCCCAGGTACTGGGTCCCACCCCATTTGTGGCCATCAGTTTGGGCCAACTTCGGCCCAAACAGTAGCACTCTTTCCAAAGTCAACTTAAGGTCTGTGAGTTGTTTAAGGAAATTAATTAATAGGGGAAAATTTTTGTGGCATGGTAAAGGGAACAGTTTAATACCATTCATAATTTAATATGCATTGAAAATATATTTCATTTGATTAGATTTTGATATCACTTGGTGGGTTGGGGGTATTTAATTTAAGAGATATTCTTACTTCATATAAGAATTAATATGAATTTTCATCTTACTTAGGTGGAGTTATTCTTACTTCATATAAGTTCTAAATTTTCATCTTTAAGAATTAATATGGGACTTATTCAAGTACCATAATTTTCCTGTGTAGGCTTTTCGTTACGAATAAAATGTCACTGGCCTTCTCGTCTTCCTGTTAGTTGGGGGATTTTGAATCTCACGTGACTCTTTGGGACTTGACTCTAATCTCAGTTGTTGAGTTACAGTATCTAGTTCAAACGATTGATGCATGATTAAGATGACCCTTTAAGATATAAATTTGAATGATAATTAAAAATACAGATGAATTCACGTAAATATAGCAAAGAACTCATTTCAATAGCACAAAACATACTACAATCAAGTATCACTTCCTTAAAGAAATCGAAGTTAATAGAGATATCGTATAGCAAATGAACAAGTGGTAATTGATGCATTGTTTTAAAATTTCTAGAAGAGTGGAAACTAGCTTAACATATTACCTAAGAACTAATAAAATCTATTCCGTAGTAGATTTCTCTAGATGAATGACGTGTGAACAAAAATCTAGGATTTAGAAGAAGAGAAAATAACATACAAACTGTAGATATTTTTTAAGAACAAAAAAATCTTGAGAATTTTTTTTTCTTAGGGGGCCGAAGAAATTTTTTTTTTTTTTTTCGTAGGGAGGAGGACAAGTATAAATTTTATATTATACATGCTATATTATTTTTATTTTTACCTATATTAAAAAAAAAATTCCAAAAGATTAGGGGGGCATGGCCACCCCCTCCCTCCGCTCCTGGCCATCCACAGCTATCTAAGATATGAAATGATTACTACAAAATTAAAACCTATCAAAAAGTTCAAAAGCATGCATCTCGGTTATTCGATTTTTTTTTTTAATGACGTAAATGGCCAATTAATACAATAAGGCCAATCCATTTATAGGTACATTTAATGTTGAGGTAGTTTTATTATGACAAAACATATAAAAATGGATTGTTCCTTATTATATAAGCCATATAGAGACAATTATTATAAATTGAATATGAAACCAAAACGTAAGTGTATAAAAAAATTCGGAGAGTTTTTTTTTTTTTTTTTGTGAAATTTTAAGCAACTAATATAAATAAAAGATATATAGAGAGTGGGCCTTTGGCCATACAGCCCAAAAAAGGGACCAACAAGCCCGAAATAGTACATGCAAGAAACAAGGGTCAAGCCCATAAGTTGGCAGCCCAATACAAGAGAGTTGCATTTGTCCACTGTACCAGGGCATCCCAATTAGATAATAAAGAGCAAAAATTGCATTTGTCCTTGATGTATCTCCAAAGAGGGGAGATGAAACAACAACTGAAGAAGACAAATGTGATTCTGTTGAGTTATGATAGAGGGCACAAATATTATGATGGTGGTACATTGACTTACTATCCAGTGTCGGTTATGAGGGGAAAGACCATGAGGAAATTACTATAAAGGTGTCAACAATGATGGTATCACTGAAACCAGCATCGATCAGTAATTGTGTTAAGTGGAAATCTTGTGCACATAGGGCCTCCTGGAGCCCAGTTGTCCCACCAGAATGCAGTATCCCTACCATTCCCAACGGTGTGCTTGATGAGCAGCCTTGCAGTATGCCTTAGTTAGAGAATCTTCCTCCAACTCCAAGAGCAAGGTTGTGGGAACTCGAGGGTCCATAGATTCCTTGATTTAATGAGGTAAGTTCTGCACCATTTAACCCAAATTCTATCTGTGCCATCCGTTTGAAGGTCCCAGATGTATTTGAGAATTGCAGCTTAATTTGTTAGATATCTCCAAATTTGGAATACCCAAACCCCCTGCCTCCTTTGGCCTGCAAATTTTGTTCCAAGCCACCTTTGCTCTAGTTGCTTTCAACTCTGGCCCAGACCATAAGAAGGGCTTGAAGATTTTGTTCAGCTCATTTAAAGCTCTTTTTGGTAAGATGAAGACACTACACCAATAGAGTTGGGTTGAGACCAACACAACCTTGATGAGTTGGAGCCTTCCTCTATAAGATAGAGATCTAGATGATCAGTGGTTAATCCTGTGGGTAATCTTGTCAACAGGAAATTTGAAGAGTTGAGAGTCTGATCAGTTGTTTTGAAAGTGGATTCCAGCTGTAAGTTGGGCTTCATAGTTTATTTCCCTTCTATTACGGTTTGGACTATAGTCTAATCGTTTCTTGCTTTGGGCTGTTATTGCTTTTTTTGCACTTCGGCCCTAGCCAATCTAATGGTTCATGTAAATTCACCCGCATCCAAATTTGAAGAGTTGAGAGTCTGATCAGTTGTTTTGAAAGTGGTTTCCAGCTGTAAGTTGGGCTTTGAAAGTGGATTCCAGCTGTAAGTTGGGCTTCATAGTTTATTTCCCTTCTATTGCGGTTTGTACTATAGTCTAATCGTTTCTTGCTTTGGGCTGTTATTGCTTTTTTTGCACTTCGGCCCTAGCCAATCTAATGGTTAATGTAAATTCACCCGCGGTTTGTACTATAGTCTAATCGTTTCTTGCTTTGGGCTGTTATTGCTTTTTTTGCACTTCGGCCCTAGCCAATCTAATGGTTCATGTAAATTCACCCGCTTCCACCGTCTCTCTAAAAAAAAAAAAAAAAAAAAAATGGTTTTGTTTTATTATTATTATTATTTTTAAAAAATACTAACGCTCCCTAATGTCCAATCCCTAACCTTTTTTTGAGGTTGAATCTCCTTTCCTAATTCCACTAACTAATTTCTCAAAAGAATGAATTTTTTTTTTGAGAAATTATTAGTTACAACAATTTGTCATGTCATTTGTGTTACCATCAATACAAATACTCCATTAAAGTAAATGATCGGATATGCTCATCTGGTTAGAAAAGGGGAAACAATTTAATATTTTTCATAATATGATATTTTTTTAATTTTTTTTAAAAAAATTAACTCTAATGTCCAACCCCTAACCTTTTTTTGATGTTGAATCTCCTTCCTCCTAACTCCACTAACTAATTACTCAAAAGAATTTCATTCTTTTAAGAAGTGTTATTAGATACAACAGTTGTGCCATGTCATTCGTGTAATCAACTAATACAAATACTCAAATGGTTGGATATCTCGTCTGGTTAGAAAATGGGAAACAATTTAATAGTTTTCATAATATGATATGCTCATCTGCTTAAGTTTTTGCATTAATCAAACAAATTGAGAAAATCAACTTCTCTTACTCTATTTTCAAATATCAAAATAAAATCTTCTTAAACACTTTATAATTTTCTGAACAGTGAACATCCAAAGAACTTCAATAGAAACTAAGCATCTCAAATCATAAAATTTTGCCAATTTTCAGTATGCAACGTACACCTACTAATTGAGTAGCCATTAATCTCAAAGTTTTGCATTTTCTATGACCAATTAACATGAAATAATCTATTTAGAATGTTAATCAACTCGATCTTGTGTCTTTATCAGTGAACATGAGTTATGACAGGAGAGCAAGATATCTAGCTCTAGCATATTTTATCGGCGTTGTATACAATATGCATACAAAAGTGGAGAAAAATCTTCTGATCTTGATCCGAGTTTTTTTGGGTAATTTTTTTTTTTTTGGGTAAGTCTTGATCCTAGTTATTTAATGGTAGAGGGTAATTCTCCATGATAGCGTGTCATAATAATTTTTTTCTTTTACATAACAAATTACTCAATAATATATTTTGATTTGCGGTGCATTATTGCATATAACAGAAGTTTATCTGGTCCAAAATTTACAATGTCTCGTTTTCAAAAAATAAATAATAATAATAATAATAATAATAATAATAATAAATAATTGCAACTTGCAATTATTCACCAGGAAAGACATGGGATAATACAACAGCACTGTCTTAGAGCAGCAGTACTAAAAATCATTGGTACAATTCATTTTGATGTTACTTTGACTATAATAATAAAAAAAAGCCATGATTCAGAATTTATTGAATTATAATAATAACAATAATAAAAGAAAACCATGACACAAGACACCAAGGCTATTAAAACAAATCACACATCAACCCTAAGTATAAAGTAACCATGACCTCCACATCCCTATCACCATTCACAAAGCCAAACAACTGGTAACAACAACAATGACATACCTGCATGCAACACAGTACTCAAACAAGCTAAAGCTCAACGCACACACAATATAATTGTAAAAAACATAGCTAAAACTACCATTAATTTCTCTCTATCAACATTCAAAGCCCGGAGGAATGGATTTTTCGCATGCACTAATTAGCAAGCTAAGCGTAATGGGCACGTTCAAGTTGATTCCAAGCACATTGGCCTTAATGGCAGTGCAAAGGCAAGCCGCGGCTTCCAGGTCTGCCAACCCTTCGAGCAAACTGCAGCACTTGCTCGAAGGAGGGGTTCCGACCACTAGGTTAACCACCCCTCCGAGAAGGTCCGCGCAGGCTCCGAGCTTCAATGTGTCTCTAGGGCAACTGGGGGGTGGTTTGGGCATGCATGGGCCACAAGCACTAGAGAGTGTGGTGAAGAAGAGGATGGAGACGACGAAAATGGCCGTGGAGAGCTTGTTTGCAGCCATGGCTAGACTAGGGTTTAGGGCATGGTGTCACATTGAAGGGATGATGTGCCTTTTTAGAGGAGAATTGTGAGGTGGGTGTGGTGAGTTTGATTGAGTGGTTGGTGATATGTGTACAAGTTGTATTTTTGTAAGCTTGTGCCAAAAGTTGTACACTTGATATCTACAAGTTAGGATATCACATGGTATGATAATTGACAGTAGGTGAAACTAAGCTGGTGTTCTAGGCCAAGTTTGTAAATTTAGGCCCTGCCCCAAACAAGAAAACAAAATTAAACAATGCCATAATCAAGACAGCCACCGGTAAATTCATTAATTATGGCAATCAAATTGAGGGATGATATATATATATACACACACAGTATTAGTAATGCATAGAAGGCCCATGGGCGGATGTATTTAAGCCCAGAAAAAATAAGCTGTTAAATAAACTACTCCACTAATTATGTCAATGGCAATCATTTTAAGGGAAATGGTTTAGAATTAAGTCACATGAAGCGGGAATGGGGGTGAAGACGAATTCGAGAGTTGCGAAAGTGGATAAATTAAGTGTCAAATAGTGACAATGAGAGCGAAAGTGCGTGCGAAGCGCGAGAACAAGACTTATTTAGAAATATTGTATGGCTTTGGTTTAGAAACTGCACTCGAATCATGACTACCACAATAATTTTACATTATGTAATAATTTGACATCATTAAAGTAATTACTTTAAATCATTTACGTAATAATTTTACATCACTGATTCTTAAGCCATTATATTGCGTATGGCTTACGGAGAATCCCAATCTTAGACACTGATATATATAAGGCCCGTGACCCTAAGGGTTTAATCCCCAAAATGGTCAGCCATGAAAGTAACAGTTGATCAGAGGGGGGTAGAGGGTAATTCAGTCAATTTGCATCACTAATGGGTGCCAGTTTGTGGGTTGGGACAAACAGATTCTTCTTATGCGAGAAACATAAAGGCCCACTTTTACGCGTCTTGTGTTCTGTCTGGGCTTTGATTTTTATGTCAATTATTAAAGTAGTGGGGCCCAAAATTGTGCTTGGATCAGTCGCGGCTTTTTTTGTATCACGAAAAATAGTTCTCAATAATTTATTAAGAGAACAAAAAATTGATTTTAAAAAATTATAAAAAATAATTATATTAAAATAAAATATTTTTCTAATCAAATTGTTAAAAAATGAAACAAAGCAGAATTTTTTTATACAGTTTTTTATTTTGTTCTCAAATTTACAAACCAACAAACATGAGTTTTTGGCCGACATGATACTGATAATAAATAAAAAAAACAAATATTAACAAAACATTTAACTGAAATAGACCAAGTTGAAGTAAGATTGATTAACTTTTAATTATATGACAATATAAAACATCTCAATATTTGAGATCCATAAATAACAATTTAAGGATAGGAGAATAATGCATTTTTATTTATAAAATTTTTTAGAATGAACAAAATTATTCATTTATGATTATTATTATTATTATTATTATTTTACTTTTTGTGTTGGTACTTGGTGTTCTGATGGGTTTTGGATATTTTGGTTAAAGACTAAAGTCAAATGGATTCATGGCACTTTTATGTTGCAGTTGAACTGTTTTTCAGCACAACTGTCAAAACTCTACTGGTTACTAGTCATACTTTTGTATATGAATGATAATTTTATATTATAAAATTTTAAATTATTCTATTAATGTTGTATATTTATGGTTATTAATGATAATTTTGTATAGAAAAATTAAAATTATCATTTTTGGGCTGGGCACTCAAGTCTATTACCAAATATCAAATTTGAAATTATAAATACACGGATAAACATATATATTGAGCATCTATCTCCAATAACGAAATATATATTACAAAAATTTAGAAATATTATAATTTTAATTACATACTACAATTTCCTGACTAAGTTCATAGAGAATAATTTTTGTCTTGTTAGCTTTGTTTAAGAAAATTTATGATGAAAAAAGATAAGTCCATTACCAAATGCCGACTTTCACATTATATATGTAGCATGTATCTCTAGCTAGTAAAGAAAAATATATTTGGGGTTGTTGTTGGAATTAAAAAAAACTTTAATAATAAAGCTGTTAAAAAATGATAAAAATCATGTTAGGTATTTAGTGACACATTATAAAAAATTATTTTTTAATTTATTTGGTAATAATTTTTTAAAACACTTATATTGCTAATTTTAAAACACTTGTATTGTTACGTAATAGCAATAAATAAGGAGTGTAATTGTCTTTAAAAAACTAAAGACAAAATTGTCTAATGAAAAAGAGTTACCTAAAATATTCAACATTTACTCAGAACACTCCAAATTCTACTTCATTCAAATGCTTTACTAAACTAAATTTGGTAATCATTAAAAGTGTTTTCAATGGTTATCAAACAAATCTAAACGCAATCCCAAACGTGCTCTAAGTAAATAAAAAAACTACTTATTTAGTTGAGAATTATAAAAATTTTAATTACATAATATTAATTTGGCCCTCCAAATAAAAGTTCTAATCTAGTAATCCCAACACTAATAAAAAAATAAAATAAAAATTTAAAAAAAAATAAAAAAAAATTCTAATCCAGTAATCCCAACACTAAGCTTAATTTTTTGAAGACAGGTTAAACTCGAATCATATTATTTGAGTTAGATGTCAAATTCATTAAAGTTCCAATACAGAAAAAAATAAAGGTGCAACTTGGCTGGTTCAATCCAACTTCAACCTAGCAGAGCCCAAGCCAATCCTTTTAATGGGTTTAAGTAGGTACCTTTTTTTTCGGCTCGGCTTGGACTTGGGCCGAAGGCATGGAGCAATATAATCATACTCGAACCCATAGTTAGTAAAATACGGTACGGGAAAAATATAGATACGGAAACGTACGAGTATAATTCGATATTTTTAAAAAAATACGTTTAAAAAATTCGGCACAAAAATACAAAAACGTAAAAATATGAATACGGATACGTACGTGTATAATACGTTATATACACTAAAAATTCGGGATAAAAAATTCGGCTATACACATCTTATTATTTTCTTATATATCATATATTTGTAAGGAAAATAAATAATATGTAACAAATAATAAAATAAATATATTACAATTGACACTATCACAATAATCATAAAAAAAATAAAATAAACTATCTAAATATAATGAAACAATAACCGTATGTCCATAACATGATCAATTTCATCACAAAATTAATAAAAAAAATTCTAATTCAAATAATCAACTATGAGACCCAAAATAAAAATAAAAAAATTGTTCTACAATTAGATAACACCATCTAACCAAGAAAGATCTTCATTATTGGTGACTATATCACTAGAAACGTCATCTGTTGGCTCTAAGGAATAATCCTCCAATTCTTCATGATCAACATATTCAAGATTGTCACTAACTTTGTCGAGATTAATTGGCTCCAAATCTTGTGCTTCGAATGTCTTGAATTTTTCCATCATCATTGTGTTCATTCTTACGTATACAAGATTGTCCAACATTGTAGGTGCCAACCTATTCCTTTTCTTTGTTTGCGCAGCTTCCCAAGCACTCCAATTTCTCTCACATGAAGAAGAATTGCAAGGCTGACTCAATATACGAATGGCATACTTTTGTAACACAGGAAGACAATCCCCACAATAATCCCACCAAACTCCTACACATATTAATAATAAAAAATAATAATAATAATAAAACTAAATATATAAAGCTTATTATAATTTTAACAAGATATTTTAAAAAATAAAAATAAAAACTTACGAGGATGAGATGTTTTCAACATTGTCTTTGCTGTTTTTGTGAATAAAGTTGAGGTCTTCATACGGTAAAATTGCAGTTCTCGAATAAAATCTTCCTTTTCTTCTTCAATAATAAAATTTCCTAACATAAAATCTATACCGTCTTTCATTTCACGATTTTCTCTGAAGTCCTCGCTACACATGAAGGCAGGATTTAAAATGCAGCAGCTACATGTATTGGGTGGATTACATTTTCAATTCTCCGTTTTTCAAATAACACCCATATCTGCATGTAATTAGCTTGATTAGTACAACAACGTTGTTTAATAGTTTCTTTTGCCCTTTCCATCGCCTCATACAAATATCCTACAGTTGAACCATCTCCATCAACCAAACAAAGAACTCTAACTAAAGGCTCCAGAGTTTGTATTACTTCTTTCCCTTTACTCCAAAACTCAACACTTTGAATAATACTAGCAACCTTTAGTCCCATCCCTCTTTTGTTGTAATCCAACCCCCTCCATTCAGAAGATGCCACAAGTAATCGCAATCCATTTTCAACTTCTAAAATTGATTGAACCATCAAAAAATTGGAGGCAAATCTAGTCGCACAAGGATGTTTGAGTTCTTTATGATTTGTGTGCTCTCTCATTAATGACAAAATAATAGTGTGCTTGTACAAATATGTCACAATTAATTTTGCATCATCAATAATATCATGTATCCACAAAACTTCAGAATAAATATCTTTCAATAGTAGTTGAATCCCATGAGCAGCACATCGTGTTTTATACATACGAGGGTACTTACCAATAAGCATGTCACTAGCTGATTCAAAATTTGATGCATTATCAGTAATGAACTACACAACGTGATTAAGTCCAATATCTTCAATTACTGATTATATAATATCTTTTAGATAAACACCTGTTTTTTTATCCTTTGAAATTTCAAATGAATTCATAAATACTGCCCCACCAGGTGAATATGCAATTATGTTGATAAAGACACGTTGCTTCATATCACTCCATATATTTGACATTAGTGTGCAACCTGTAGTAACCCAAGTTTTCTTCACATTCCCAATGTATGCCTCTACCTCTGTCCTAGAATCTGGTATTAGCTTTGTGCGTAAAGTTGAGTAACTAGGTAATTTGTATGTTGACCCAAATTTAGCAACACTTTATACGAAATCAATAAAAGATTGAGTCTGAACCACATTAAATGAAATATTATTCAAAATAATGTGCTTGGCAAGTTTTTTATCCACCTCACTCTTATCCATCTTCTTAATTGTTTCTGGCATGGTAGATTGTTGTAAGCCCTTTGAAGTTGAAGAGGAAAAATTAATAGACCCACCTTGCTCAACATCAATTGGAGTAACTGTAGTTTTAATTTTTTTGTTCGGACCACCAATTACTAAAAATGCAGCTGCTTGAACCTTTTGAGGTACTTTTGAACAAATTTCAATGTCTCTACCTTTTACCCCAGATAAGTATGATTTGACTCTTGAAATACCTCCAGGATAGTTTAAGTTACAATACTTACACATGAAACGACCTTGTAATTGTTCAACGTGATCCCAAAATGCATCCCTCTTTTTTCCCATCTTTCCTTAATAGCCTATATATTTATAATAAATTCATAAGTGTATAATGTGATACTCTACTAAAACATCTAGGGAGTGTGGTGATTTACAAACTTCTAAAATAATAACAATAAAGATACAAACAAAATTTAAAAAATCTCACAACAAAATAAAAAATCTATAAATATCTACAAACATCAATAAAAATTTATAATTCTTCAAGATTATAGTATTCCACAAGTATATATATATATATATATATATATATATATATATTTCATTATTTTAATTAAAGATTATACAATGGAGTGACAACAATAAGAGATTAAAAAAAAGAAAAAGAAAAAGAAAGTGATACCTTGAACAACTAAGTGAGAGAATGGTCACAACCTTTCCCAAGATTGCACAACAAATAATATTATTTTGATAGCGCGAAAGATAATGGTTATAGAAGTAAAAAAGGGTAGAAAAGACGGTAATTTATATTTCAGAAAAATAGGTAATTAGAAACGAAGTTTGTGAACGAAAAGAAAATAAAATAATTTGGTTACGAATTAAACGGGGCGACTAAAACGAATAAACTAATGGAAAAAAATCGTACCTTTCAACTCTAATTGACAAACGCAAGTATTTTCTCAAAATTCGTACGCGTTTAATTCGCGTATCATACGCGAATTAACTAACTAGAGTAGACTTCTTTTAATTTTTAATAATAACATTTTATTAAATAATAAATATTAATAACCTAGCTTAACTAAACCTTGCAAACATGCTTAGAAAAAATGTATGACAGAATACGAAAAATTATAATTTGGTGGGCCATTCAAATAAAGCAAAATCCATTACAAATAATAAATCATCATTATTATTCTTGACTTTATACGAACAGTCGTCTGAATTATTTATTTTCCTTTTCAATCATAAATGTGTTCAAGATAAAAATTAATGTAAAATTACTCAAAAAATTGGTGTTAAATTCATATTTATTTGTAATAATAGTGGATGAGAATAACAAAACAATTTCAAAATGAGATTCCATACTGCATGATGTTTATCAATGAAGTTGTGTTCTTTAATATATCTGATGATAAATTAGCAATAAAACTACAAATGCGATTAAAAAAACTTTAGAATTGAAAGGATTGAGAATTAGTTGAACTAAAATTGTGTATATTGAGTATAAATTCAATTAGGGTTCGTAAATTGATAATATATTGATAAAACTTCAAAATAATAATAATAAAATAACTCAAAAAGACTACTTTAATTATTTAGGATCAATAATACAAAATATTGGAGAGATAGATAGTAATATAACTAGTATGATTAGAGTTAATTGGACAAAATGGAAACAAATTAGTTGAATTTTATGCTATGAAAGACAACACATAGGCTAAAAGGAAAATTTTATAGGATCGTTATTAGACCAACTATATTATATGGAGCGAAATATTGGACTTTAAAATATATAAAAAATAAAAAAAAATCTCATGTAGCGAAAATGAGAATGTTAAGTTAAATGAGAGATATATTGAACAAAAGAGATGCAATCACTCATAAACCTTAGAGGAAAATTAAGTGTAGCACCGAGAGAAAATAAAAAATGATAGAATTAGATGGTTTAGACACGTATATTAGATATCTATGTCCATATCATTCCAAAAGTTGATGACTTGTAATAAAAAATAAGAAACAGAGAAGGACCAAAAAAGGCCTTGAGTGAGATTATTAATATTAATTTTGTAAAAGCTAAATTTAATAAGTAAAATGACATGTAATAAACAAAAATAGTAGTAGTACTGTACATATTTTGAAGAGAGACCTAAAATGAAGACAAGAAAGACGGGATGAAATAACCTGACTTAGATACATGCTCCGATGGACTTTAGCCATATAATTCAAATTTGGCTTAACTCGAATTTAAGTTGAGGACTTTAAAAGTTACATGCAGAACTCTCAATGGATAGAATCAAATCAATTTGAATTCAATCAGATTATATGATATGAATTAAATAACAAATTTAATATCGGATAATGATCTGAATTTGATGATAGGGATTAAATAACAAATTTAATATCGGATAATGATATGAATTTGATAATTTCTTACATTAACAAATCCATAATGCCAGAATACTATTTTGAAGCCTAATATCAAAATCCTAAATTTATATATATATATATATATATATATATATATATATGTATTAAGGAAAATGAATATTGCACCCAATAATTAGAATGAATTGCTACACTTATTTTTTTTAATTAGTCAATTATATTCACTTGTATTTAACATAAATAAGTAATAAAAAATCATTCAGTTAGGTAATCTGTTCTGTGTATCACTACTCATATATTAATTATCTATTATTAAATTTATTTAATTACAAAATTATTTAATATTATATTCCATATATTAATAACTCTCCACTTCATCTTATACACGTCAATGAATCTGAATTTGATCCCATCCAGAATAGTTATGATATGAATTGAAACATTGTTATCGTTTGGAATTCAATGATCGGTCCTATCCGAATCCACTCCCAACACGTTTGGGCTCCGGAACCCGTACACCCGGCGTTGCACCAGTGGACTTAAAACGTGGGTCACCACCGGTACCGCCAGCCAACATGCACTCCATCTTCCCCAACATACAGCTAAAAGCAATCGTCCAACCCCAACCATCTTTTCTTCTTTGCTTTTTTGTCCGTAAATTCTCTCTCTAACTTTCAAATTCCAACAGTAATTTCCGCCAAAAACCCTAGCTCTCGTCTCTCTTCCTAAACCATTTATATACACAGAAAAATATATAATATATACACACAAATATTTTAATTGGGACCTATTGTCATCGATCCAATCAGTAGAATACACACACGCATAAAAGCGAGAGATTTATCTGTGATCTGCATATTACCATCGATCTTTTGTCGGTAAAAACTCGAAACAGTCTTAGGGAGAGAGAGAGAGGAGAGAGGGAGAGAAGGGATGGCGATTCTGTATGCACTGGTGGCTAGGGGATCGGTGGTGTTGGCGGAATTCAGTGGGACGACGACGAACGCAAGCGCGATCGCTCGGCAGATTCTGGAGAAAATTGCGGGCAACAATGACACCAACGTGTCCTACTCTCAAGATCGGTACATCTTTCACGTGAAGCGCACCGATGGCCTCACCGCGCTCTGTATGGCTGATGATACTGCCGGAAGTAAGTCTTTGATTGACCCGTTTGTTTACTTTTATTTGTTATTATTATTATTTATTGTTTGAATAATTTTAATGTGAATTGTTTGAAATACTGGGTTGAATTGATGTGCAATGGAATTCGCAATGCTAAATTGAAATTGGATTGGAAGTCTATTTGCAGTTATAATTTTATTCTGTTGCAATTGAAAGTGAGCTACAAACTATAGTTCTGTTGTTTGGGTTTCGCAAAAAAACTGAGTGACAAATTGGAATACTGATTACAATTTCAATAAATAGTTCTGCTGTTACAATATATGAATCTATACTCGGCAATAGATTCCAAAAAGAACTTAAACTGTCTTTTGATCGGAATTCGTGGAATTGGATGGTGGAATTGAAATTCTGATTTTGATTATGTTGCAATTGAAATTGAGCTAGAAGTCTGGAATTATAATTTGTTGTTTAGGTGGCACAAAACTTTTAATTGCCAATTCGGTATATTGATCACAATTTCAACTAGTTTGCATTGTTTAAAGTGATATTTTATATTGATCTATAAACTACAGGAGATGCCAGGTTGCACTTGATAGATTTCTTGATGTGCAATGATAGGAATTGGGAACATAAGATAACTAAAGGGTATCAGAAACTGTTATGGGCCATCCTTGTAATGTTATAGTGATGTTAAAGTTTGAAACATTGAGGTAAGGAAATTATATGGTATGATAAACTGTTCCAAAATATTTAGAGGTTTGTATGGGAAAAAAATGTAATGTTTGAGAGACAAAATAGGGTTAGCCAGTTCGGCCTCATTCTATATTGTCCTCATGATGATTTCAAGCTAAAACTGCAATTGTCACATATAATTGAAAAATGGAAGAGAGAATTTTATTCTGATAATTGCTGCTTTTATGGATGAAATGATTTAACAAAAAGCAATTGGTTATTTATTTATTTATTTAATATATATTTTTTTCTTTCGATAAGTAAAAAACATTTGGTTATTAATAGAAAATTAATAAGAAACATAAAGAAAATTTGTAGAGTGAGAAAAAGTTTGGAATCTTTTTAGGAAGTAAAATTCAGGATTTTGCACAAGCAAGGAAGCAAAAGGCTAGGGAGGCTTAGATTGAAGCACTTAAAAGTCAACCCTAAAAATATAAAGAAGACAAAGTTATTAGATAATATAAACTTATGATTTCTGATATGTCTGCCCTCTGCATTCATGTTAAACACATGAGAGAGAGAGAGAGCAGCAATTTGTTAAATTCGGCAGTCCCATATATTCTTGTTGATTTCTTGTACAATGCTTGTGTTAGGAGGTGCTGGGAACCTAGAATGACAGACACATAGAGCAGCGTGTAGTTTTCTCCTGTGATTGGGAAGCTTCTGACAATTTAAACCTTCTAAAATTACAGTTTGGGGCTGACTTTAAAGAAGCTTGGCTTCCCTTTTTTTTCCTTCTTAACTTTTTTTTTCCCCCAGTTAAGCTTGGCTACCTTTTGCTATCTCAAGTTTGTAAAATTGTGACTGCCCTTCAAGTGGTAGAATTGGAATGAGACATCCCAATTTCAACTTCTACACCAATAATTTGTTGAATTCTGCCCGCTACTTTGTATCCTAAGGGAAAATAGGTAGGTGACAGTGGGTCAGAGTGCAATTGAACCTCTATCATGGATTTGGCCTCATGAATTTAAAAATCCTCTTCAAATTGGTAGTTAGTAGGAATTTTGCATAAATTTAAGCATCACCTTTTTCCCCATATCGTGATGATAATGAACTCTATAAAAGGTGTAAGCATGCCCTACACAAATATTTCCCTTACCTGTATGAATTCAAGATTGAATCCTATGTTTCTAATACGATCAATTGGAGACTTACTGGCTAAGCTAGCTGATATTGTCATTTAATTAGAACGAAGTACTGTTTGTTCCACTTTTGAATTTTTGATAGGACCTGATTCCATTTTTGTGTTCCATTATATTAACTTGAAACCTGTCTTCACACTTGACAATTTTAAGCATTCTTACATAAGAAGGCACACATAATAAATAATACAAGGTCTAGGTTAGGTTATATTACCTGACATCTCAACTCGAGCCTTGGATTGGGTTAGGTTGGATTCATTCCAGTCAACTTACATGCTTACTAGGAATGCTTCAGGGAGGTATTTTTGTATTTGATGACATTAGAAGTTATAGACTTCAAATTTTTGTACCCAAGAGTCTCTCTCTATAGACTTTGGCCTAGTTCGAAATGGTAGTCTAGCTTACATTTATGAACTGTTTTTACCTAATACACGTCTGCTGTTTGGCAGTTGTCTGCCCATTCGTCTTACGACTCTTGCTATTACCTCCAGCTAGGGATTTGGATTTTGTAATATCCTGTATTTTTTCCTGGTAGGTTGTTTTACTCTATTTTGAATTCTTTCTGCAGGAAGAATTCCTTTTACATTTCTTGAAGACATTCATCAGAGATTTGTGAGGACATATGGTCGGGCAGTTCTTTCAGCCCATGCTTATGCCATGAATGATGAATTTTCAAGGGTTTTGAGCCAACAAATGGAGTATTACACAAATGATCCAAATGCAGATAGGATAAACCGATTGAAAGGTGAAATGAGTCAGGTAAATTATGAATGCTCATATCAATATTTTTTTTAAGAATAAATATAAAAAAATAAAATAAAATAAAGTTATCACTTCAAATACTTTCATACTCATCTATTTTCCCCATCCATGATTTATGGGTTTTTCAAAAGCTTTATTATTTTTTGGTTCCTTTGTTGGCTGTATGGTAATTGTCCTAGTACTTGGGTGATTGCTGATGCCTTGTGCTTGATACTTGAGCTGTAATAGGTGCTCTGCTATTTTTATTATGTACTTAGGCTACACTCTTAAGCATACATTTGTAGCATGTTTAAAACTGTTTTGCCTTAGCATACCCTTCCACATGATTTAGAAACAAGTTCATGACATTCTACTTTGTAACTTAATTTTTTGCAGACAATAATTCTTTTCAATTTGATTGTCATCTAACAGGTGCGCAATGTCATGATAGAGAATATTGATAAAGTCTTAGAGAGAGGTGATCGCTTGGAATTGTTGGTTGATAAAACCGCCAATATGCAAGGAAATACCTTCCGTTTTAGAAAGCAAGCACGCCGCTTTAGAAGCACTGTGTGGTGGAGAAACGTCAAACTCACGTATATTCTCTCAACTAAAACCTCTTTTGATGTTTGAGCACTTTCATCAGTATTAGATGGTTAAATTCATTTTTATCTTCTTGGAGCAAAAGTGTCATTTGGAAGGTGGTGTTTGCAACCCACTATAGGGTGAAATTTTCTTTAAGGGTCAGGCTCTGTTTGTTTGCTGGAAAACCTAAATGTTAAAAAAAAAAGAAAAAGGTTTAGTTTATGCAATCCATCCATCACATTAGTGAAAAAAGGATTTTGGCTGGAAACCTTTCAACCTGTATTTGCTGAAAAGATGAAGAATATTAGCAACCCAAATGCCTACATTTAGGATTTGCAGTGGGCAGTGTAATCATGGTGAAGTGTACCTGACTTGAATGAAGAACCTAATCATGTATGTCCAATTTTGGCTTACAGGCAATGTTCATTTAATCAACCTGGCTAAATTTATTGGAGATACGAAAATAGTAGTATATTATCAAATCCGAATAATTTTATATACTATGTCTGGGCAGCTTCCTGAATTCAATCAATTTAAATCAACTTTATTATTATTTATATTCTGAATTAGTTATGTTTTAAAAGGTACAAATTTAATATCTCCCTAGTAGGAATTTCACGAGAGTTTTCATTGTCTCGAAGCCAAAAGTTTTGAAATATAACAAGAATTTCGCTTGGATTTCTGACAACTCAGAAACAAAAGCGGGTAAATTATATTGACCTCACTTCTCCCCCCAATATATATATATATATAAATATATATTGATCCCTCCTGAGGTGTCTAATAGTTTCCCTCTTGTTTCAGTAGTTTCACCAACATCCCTTCTATCTTTTTATTGGTAATGGGATGGATTCTGTTATCCTCAGGACCTTAAAGTTTCATGATTTGAAAATTAATTAAACCTTAAATGTGAGCTGTGCCTTTAAAGTAGCCATATGCAAAAGGAAAGAAAACAGCAATGGTGGACCATAATATGTTGTCACCTCGGAAATAAATGAGAACCTGACAATTCATGGAAGACCACGACCAATCAACACAATTCCCAATTCACCATTGCTATCCAACCTGCAACCTTCACAGAAATCACACCGGCCTCATTATCCTCTTCTAATTTTTTTTTTTTTAATTATCTCTATAATTAACCGACTCCATCACCTTTGAACAACCACAACTTACGAATCAGCATCACCGCGACACCACCAATCTAACCATGAATGCGTTATCAGGTTCAAAGTCACACCACCACTTCAATTAACCTTTACAACATTTGATCCAAACTATCACCATAATTGCTGACAACACCGTGACCTCAAATTCAACTTTCATTGCTGACATAACACCAATTTCCTCAATCTGCATATTCACACGAAGTCCCAAAGTTCACGTTGCTACCATCATCGTTCATATGTACAAATTTATATTAGATTCATACATATTGGTACATACAAATCTTCATATATGTATATATAGATAGTTGTTAAGGTGATAGTAGTGGTTTCTAAGTGGTGGTTGTTTGACAGTGATGGATATGGTTTATTGGCTAAAGATTAGAGCTAATTGTTGCAGTGATGGTGGGAGTGACGTGGCATTGATTGTCGGATTTGACTACACAAATAAATTTGCATTAATCACCATTAAAGCTACTATAGAGCTTCAATATGACTGTTTTGCCCACTTTTATCAATATGATGGAAGCAATTTGAATTGTTTTAAATAATCTTTTTTATCTGATATTACTATCTATGTAGCATCCTCTCTTTCCATCAATAATGCCTTATTCTTCGAATGAGGAATTGCATGCCTAAGTGGATTAATTTCAAAAGGAGCTTTAAAGCTGAAGCTTTTTATGACCCTTTGTTTTCTGTTGAACTTCCCAATTTCAATACAATTCCTTTCCAAATTATGAGCAGAAGTTGACCAAGGTAGCTGCAACACTTATCTTGGAATCTATCATTTCTCAGTGGACTTGCATGACTTCACATATTTACAGGTCTGGAAAAGAGCTCCTCGTGAAATTGCTTAACAGCGCATTATTTAAATTTGATATTGTTGAGTATCGTACAAGCTGCTCAAAATGTCAACTTTAACCCATGGCTAATTATAATATTATATCACTCTTCAGCAAAGAGAGGGTATAGTTTACAAAATGTCACTCGAGCATAAATTGTAATTCATTCATTTTGACTATGTATAGTTTACAATTGTTCTTGAATCGTCCTCTAGCCATCTGTAATCCTTTTAAAGGAATGATCTCAATGTTTAAACATTGTGAAACCACATTGTTCTAAAATCCCATTATCCCAAATGTTGCCCTTATACGGTTTAAAATAGTTGTATTATACATGATTGGCATAACCTAGATGGTAAGATGGTGCCTAAATTATTATTATTTTAAATTTATGTATACAATGTCAATATTATGTCATGTTGCCTGATGACATAATGGTCTGTCTACTGCAGGGTCCTGGCAATAGTCCTCCTCCTGGTGATTGTTTATGTTGTGCTGGCATTCGTCTGCCATGGGCTTACACTACCTACTTGCCTGTAATGAGGGTTTGTATTGAGTGATATTCGATTGCTTCCTTTTCTTCTATTCATTTGGGACATGGATTCTTCTATCCCCTTTTTTTGGAGCAAGTTGTCTTAGATTGTGTGTCCTATCTGTAGTGTCTGTTATGGCAATTTGAATTTGCTTAGTTTGCATGATTCTTAATACGTTGGCTTTAAATGTTACAATTTGTAAAGGATTACTACTCTTTGGTGCACAATATTTATGGACTATCGTATGTATCTGGGTTTTTATTGTATTTGAGAAATAGCAGAAAGACAGACATTCCTTGCTCATTACGAGACAATCACTTATTCACAAAACTCATGGGGTTAATAGTTTTCATTTCCCATTTTATGGAAAACCCTTTTCGCTCCGCGTAGCCTTATCCCCTATTGGACTATTGTACCATAAGTGTTTTTATTGTATTGAGAAACTTAAAGATTCACCTTAGCATATATGGTTTTGGCAAAAGAATTATCTTCTCAATTAAGCACTCCACAACCTGGGAAAGAAAAATGTAACAGAAACCTGACAAACTAAATCACGGCGAAAAGCAGTAGGAACGATATAAATGGAAAACACTGGGATATAAGCATAGAAAACGTTACTGGTAAATCAATGTTTCTGTAAGCACTGTCAAATTAAATATTACATAGTCCATTAAAAATAAATATATTACACTTTGTTTTAAAAAAATTTCCAAGATATATTCAGTAATGATCTCCAAAATAGGTTCTCTCTATATCAACAAAATGATGCTTACCTCAGCTTCATTTTTTGCTACTAGCAATTATGAATCAGAAAGAACAAGGCGTGCCATCCCAAAAACAATTTCCGAGTATCTTATCTGCATGTGTGTGTGTGTGTGTGTGTGAGAAAGAGAGAGAGAGTGTGTGAGAGAGAGAGAGAGAGAGAGAGAACCAAATATAATTTTAACAGTGTTATATACAATTATAGCTAATTGCCATGTTTGATTGAGAGCATATTATGTTACCATTAAACCAAACTGTCCTCTACAAGACTAAACTTTTGCAACAACTCATCTAATTCTTGCAATGCAGTCTTATAATGTTCCTGAGACTCTGTCCCTTCTTCCACAACTTGAATGACACTTTTATACAGATGATTATAACGATGCACTGGGTTATTTACATCAACATCATTGGAGCCACTATCTGGATGATATCTGCGCTTAAAGTCCTTACGCCAACGTGGTAGAATGTATCTCGATGGGATTTCTTCCACGCCATTGTAGTTGAGGACACTTAATGCATGCCTGCAGAGGTAACCTTTAAAATTGAACAAACTGCAAATGCAACGGATATCAACTTGTGTCGTCTCATACAAAACCTCATAATACCTCACCTCCTTCTCCCTTCCCTCAACTTCAACTCGTTCTTTGACCACATATGTTATAATTGGCCCGTTAACACTTACTTGCCTTGTGTTAAAACAAGAATACATTCCCTCGACTTCAGATTGGAACTTCTTGAAGATTTCCTTTGTGTACACCTCAGCGAGCTGCAACTCAAAATTACATCTAGTTTTCAATTCAAAGCTTGAATTTCTCGACTCCAGATCCCCCATGGCTTCTTTCAGGTGCTTCCTTTGTAAAGCTAGATCATATTTATCTACAAATTCTTTAAATGATGTATGTTTATGTACATAACCATCGAAAAACGCATTCATGCACTCATTTTCTTTGATAGGGATCATTCCTGCAAAAGGAGTGTCTTTTAAGTAAACCGGAACCCACCTTTGTCGATCTTCATACAATGTTTGCAGCCATTTGTTATCCCCAAGGCCATGCCTTGTCGTCATATCACCCCAAGAAGTTTCAAACTCAGCTATCTTCAAGGAGTCATAAACTGCTTGATTCAATTGTCTTCTGATTGCTTCATACCCCTTCAGTCCCCCCAACTTCTCAAATACTCGTTGCATGATATACCACAAACAATAACAATGAATAGCCTCTGGGAAGACCTGAGAGACTGCAATTTGCAAGTGCCTGGACTGGTCGGTAATAATAACTTGTGGAGGCTGCCCAAGCATACATGTAAGAAGGGCTCTAAAGATCCAAACAAAATACTCTACCGATTCATGTCCAATGATACCGCATCCCAGCAAGACAGAATGTCCATGGTGATTTACTCCAATGAACGAAATGAGAGGGATCTCGTATTTGTTTGCCAAGCATGTTGTGTCGATTGCAATTGCGTCACTGAAGTAGCTATATGCAGTCCTGGACCTGGCATCTGCCCAAAACACATTTCTTAAACGCCCTTCGTCATCAAGATCCATCAAGTAAAAGAAATTTGGATTTGTCAACTTCATGCGACAGAAGTAGTTATAGACTGCATGTGCATCCCCCTCTTTGAGTTCCAAATGCTTAGAGTTATCAATAGGATTTCTACCCTCTCTTTCATCAATATTTGAGTATCCATTAGATCCAGTGTCAGCAAGAGCTGCTCGGTACAATTTAATAGTATGTATTTCAGTAACAGGCTCTGTCTGATGTGCTTTTTTGGCTGCAAGAATCATTTTTTTATGCGACTTGTAAAAGCGTTTGATTTCCGGATTCACTGGGTGGTTGTGTTCAAGTTCTACTTCAACTATTCTCCACCTTTTAGAATCCACGAGCCTAATGACTATCATTGCAGGACAACCGGTTCTTGTTTCTGGTCTAGGATGGTTTGCTTCACTCTTTTTCTTGAAACCTGCACTACTGCAGCTAAGTTTTGCCCTATACCGTTCTTTTCTCTTTGATCTAAACCATGAATTACTGACTCTTATGCCGAAACCTTGTTCCTTTCCAAACATATTATAAAAATCATAGGCTTTGTCAAAAGATTCGAACTCCAAACCAACAGTAGGCAGTGGGGGTTCCTTCCTTGATTGTGTTTCACTGATATCGTCATCATGTTCCAGCATAGTGCAGTCTCCTTCATCCTCATACTCATCACCTTCGTCGAACACTGGCTCACTGTTGAGACAAACTTCCTCCATCTGAAACACAAATTGAACCTAATTATGGATAACAAGAAAACATGTTGACAAGCTCATGCTATCAGAAACAGAGAGCACGTGTTACTCATCTAATACAGTTCCAACTTCCAACTAATTTCCTGGCTCAGATCCCTTTTTTTTTTTTTTTTTTTTTTTTTTTTTAACTAAAAGAAAAAAGAACAAGTAGAAAATAATAAAGGCATCGTTAAAGCAAAACGTAGCGGACACGTACAAAGAGACAGGCAGAGAGAGAGAGAAAGAGAGACAAGTCTAACCAAATAATATCCTCCATAATAATAAATATATTTTGAAATAGTATTCTATAACTTATTTATTACATTCTTCACAATTAAGCTCCTTACCTAGGTTAATCGCATCTTTTCCTCTTTTCCGATCTTTGAACATTTCTTTTTATCTGGTTGCATTCATACTGACAATTTTTTTATTTTATAATCTAATCATTGAACTTGTCTTTAATTTTTTTAGTTGTGTTCAATGACTGGTTAAACTCAAAGAAACAGCATTCATGAGTAGATGGTGCAAGTCCCGACCATCAGACCATGTCAATAATCTTGAAATACAAAACCATTAACATCTCTATTAATGATAACCAGCAAGTAGTTATTATAATGAGACAGGGACTTGAATTAGTCAACAAAACATAGCATATACAAGTTGAAAATCAGATAATTTGGCTGCTTTTAGCTGCTTCATACAAGTTGTATACCAGTAAAGTTCCCTGAAGGTGTGGGTCCAAACAGTTGAAACAAACACATCAGCATGATCATGATGCAATGCTGGATGCCATAATTCACCCCCAAAATCTACCTGACATAATATATTACTGAAAGTTGTGAAATCCCGTGATTGAGTTAATTAGATTGGCCAACTTTGAATTTCTGATGTATTGAACAATTACCTAGTACATTCTTAGATATTCACAAAACAAAAAGTAAAAACTATTTCGAAGTGTGTTGAATAAAATAATAGAATCTCAATTGCATGAAAAGTTGTTCTCAAATTCTTTTCCAAAGAGTCCTGATGAAAACCCAAACTCAATTCAAAGTGAAATCTACTTTTAATTGCCGTTAATGGAAGCTGAAGATTGTAGGTGTTTTTTTGCAATTAACCCTCCAGAATATAAAGTAAACTCCTACAATTGAAGCTAGAAAATGAGTGTCCTCATTAGGTGAACTTCTCCACTCCTAAAGATGAAGAGAGGTCCAAAACCACATCGCCGTAGCTGTCAGCTTCTTCACCAAATTGCCGTAAAAGATTGACAAGCAAAAGCAATCCCTCAGTAAAATCTCCTGTAAAGTATCCAAAGGGGAATCCACTGTAAGCTCAGCAACATTTCTAACCAAAAAGAAGTCGTCTAACATATCATGAACCTTTTTGAAGTGGCTCATTTCATACAGCAGAAGACTACGTATGAATAAGGACTCTTTTACATCCCTCCCTAGCTACTTTAGGTTGTAGGATAGGTCCTGTGTAGGGAAGTTATAAAAACCTTTATAAATAAAGTGGCCATAAAGCTAGGGGCCCAAGGTCATCAAGTAGAGCCAACCAATATAACTGTAATGTCTCCCCAGTGAACAAATAGGATCCCCAGGTTTCTGGATATTCTCACCCTCCAAAAAAGCAACAATTTTTGGCTTAATAGAGTCACAATACCAGACAGCTTGGAGAAGTTCAACACAAAACCCCTCCTTTGCCTCCTAAAAAAAAGAGAACCATTATACAATTGCCTTGAATACCAAGAGAGTTAACATCCAAGTTATATTTGTGTCTCCCCATAGATCAAAATTTCAATATTACAACAAGAGAAAACCAAGACCTTGATGCATATGATGATCCTCAAAAAGATGCCATCAAATATTATTATTGACAAAAACCTATGAAGCACGGACATGCGTTGTAGGGCTGACGTACCAGTGTCGGACACGTGTCCGACACGCACACGCGTGTCCCAGCCTCGGACACGTGTCCGACACGGATCTACCGGTGTCCTATTTTTTTATTCATTTTTTCAAGTCGGACACGCCATAAGATACGCCCGAGACACACCGGAGGACACGGCTGGTACACCGGAGGACACGGGTGTAGGACACGGCAGTTCAGATTAATAAAAAAATGGAGGGGATGAGAGAGAAACTGGAAGGGAGAGGGGAAATCAACAAAGAGATGATGAAGAACCTGATGATCATGCTCTGGTTGGTATGGATCAATCGAAGACAGAATGAAAGAAGAAATCTCTTTTAATTATTTGAGTGAAAATTTGTTTGCATATTCTCTAAAAATAAATCAATAGACAGAGGAGAAGGAAGATAGAAAGTTAAGAGGAGGAGATGGCGTCTGGCCAAGAATTCCGATTCTGTTAGAGTCTCTCTCGTCTCGGTGTGAACAGATCTTAACCAAAGGCTTGATTGCCTTTTTCTTCCTCTGTCAGTGGTTTTTGGTTAATAAAAGAGGAATTCAATCTTGAAGAGAGAGAGAGTCAAACTTGGGAAGACCGAGGAAGATAGAAATCTTATCTTCTGTGTTTGGTTACAAAGTTAATCTTATCTTTTGTGTTTGGTTACAAAGTTAAAACTATTCTAGTATTAATACAAATTCTAGTATTGGATATAAAGATATATCACATATTTATTGTTTGAATTTTAATAGAATTTGGATTGGAATTAATTTAAATGGATCATGTCTATTAATGTAAATTAAAAATTAAGAGAAATTAAAATTTTATATATAATAAAAATATATATTATTATTTTATTACCGTATCCTTGCCGTGTCCGTATCCTATTTTTTTTGAAATTTGCCGTATCGCCGTGTCCGTGTCGTATCGTACCTGTGTCCCTTGTCCGTGCTTCATAGACAAAAACCCAAGGCCGGCCAACAAGTCCTATACTTGTAATCCAAAAAATTAACATTTTTCTAAAAGGCAAATCACCCAAATAGTAGCTAACCGAACAGTGGAGCACAATACCATACATATAAACCTAATAGTAGATACCACAATTAAGCACAGGATTACTGCAACGGGTGGGTGCTTCGTGATCCGACCTAAAAGCTTAAGCTGTCAGGTGGGGCTAACACCCAACCTATTCACTTTTCCATCTGGATCCGATGTGGGACAAGCTCCCTCTTATTACATTCTCCCCCACCCGAACTCGCAATGCCCTCGTTGCGGCTCGGGCCACCTTGCCTACCCGGGGTGTAAACTCGGACGCCCTCAGGGCTGGGTGTTTGGCGTGACACCAGTTTAAGGACTGGGTCTGACTTTGATACCAATTATAGCGGGTTGGCGCTTCACGATCCGACCCAAAAGCTTAAGCTGTTAGGTGGGGCTAACACCCAACTCATATATACCCATTCACTTTTCTATCCGGATCCGATGTGGAACAAGCTCCCCCTTGTTACAATTACCATGGGAGTAGCCCAAAAGATCCCCCATTACAAAAAACAATAATAATATAAAATAGTGTGTCTTGGCCATAAATAATAGAAGTATAAGGATGTGTCAATAAATGGTCCTCCATTTCAGAGCTACTATTCCACATCACAGGCATGTCATGACATATTACTCTCTAAAGCTACCAACTTAAAGTATCCCAGTTGTATTCGATTTCTTAATCGAAACAGTCCAGGCAAAACTTTTTTACTTTTAAAGGAAACCTTATCCTTCATAAACAATTTGGAACATTGAGAAATAATGAGATAAACATTCTTCACATGCACAATTCACAAGAGAACAAGTAAAAGAATCAAAATGAACAAACCACTACTTTCTAAACACCCATATCTACTCGTAAGAGGGGGGGGGGGGGGGGGGGTGTTGAAATTATCAAAATATAGAGATAGATGGCATGTCCGCGGGGGAAGATAGAAAGTCCAGTAATTTCAGTAAATAATTTCACACTTGGTTGGTAACTATTTGCAGTGATTAAACAATTGGTAACACCAACAAGACTAACAATAGAGACCTTTTCAATCTAGATAGACTAAGATATGAGTCTAAGAATGACTAAAAGGATTATCATGAATCCTCCTTGATCAAATCCTTAATCCATCCCACAATGAGTCCTGTATCCTTGAAGGGTATATTGGCATCCTAACCATATCTTGAAGATCATAATATTTTTAAGCATAAAATTCCTCATTAACATCCATTTTTTCTAGTAAGTGTATAACCATTTACCAACATGGCTCCATCCTTCAAAGATGCCATGACCCCAAGGCATTGAAGTGTGTGTTTTTGGGCTATTCTCAATCTTAGAAAGGTTACAAATGTTACCATCCTCCCAGTTGTCAGCGGTTTATATCCATGGATGTTTCTTTCTTTGAGCATACACCATACTATAGTGGTTCAGTTGGTTCTCAAAGTGAGTGGTTCCCATTTAATACTGTTGATGATCACCTCCTTCCGTTTTCAACTCCTCTACCTTTTCATGTTTCATCTTCTATTATTCCTCCTCGTGATACCCCTCTAGCAGGGGGCATTGTTCCTTTTCCACAGGTGTACAGTCGTAGACAATAGGCTCAAGCTTCTAATTCCAAGACCGATTGCCTTGTCCCTTCGACACCAGCTCCGCCTTCTCAAGCTATTGTTCCGCTTGATGATCACCCCGTTGCTCTTTGGAAGGGTAAACATTCTTGTACTTATCCTATTAAGAATTTTATTTCTGATTGTGCTCTCTCAGCCTCCTATCGGAGTTTTCTTGTTTCTGTTGCCTCGGTTCCTCTTCCTTCTAGTGTTGTTAGTCCATACCCCAAGATACCTTTTCTACTTTAAACAATGGACTTTGTTGAATTTCCATGTCCCTATCCACTATATCCCTTTTGCTCATTTTCTGGAAGCAATACAGTCTGGAATCACAAACAAGGAAAGGTATTGAGTAGGTACATTTGCTAAATATGACTAAATAAGAGTGACGATTTCTCATGTAAAAGCTTTAGTCCATCAATCTAGACAGTTGGACAATTCTCTTGACCACTAGATTCAAGAAACCACTGCTCTCAAGTCTCAAGATGCCATGTTAGGGGTTACCAAGGTAGTTAAGAGGACACACACTGGATCCAAAACACAAGTAGAGAGAGAGGAGGGGAGAGAGAGATTCTCTGATCACAGGTGGTATCATATGGAACCAAACATACCCTTTGATCTCTGAAGACATTATAGACCTCAAGTCAGTACTGGCATTTATATGACATTTCTTTTAAAAACCAACGTGGAACCAGACATACCCTCACACTCTCATTCCCAATCTCTTTTCACTCACCAATCATAAGCATTTTGCATGCTTTACAACTTACTTCACTCAGTAGTTTGCATATATAACACTATCAACAAAGCAGACACAGATATTGCAACTCAAAAAAGAAATAGAAAACTTTCAAATTTCTCGATTTGTGCTTACACTGTGAGACAACACGTTGAACCATCACCAAGTCGGGAAATCCATATCACGAAATATTCAACCACTACATCATAAAAACAAATTATAGAAAACCTTGTTGTTCTCAGCTAACTCATTAAAACAGGTTTTCTTACTCTTGTCTGAAATGCAAACAATGGAGTTGGTTCAACCTAAAAAACTATTGAGCCAAGGAATGGTATGTAGATGCAAATGACAGCTAAATGGATCTGGATCCTCTCCAGCAGGTTATCTCTCTTGTTTTTCCTGAAACAAGATCTGAGGGTTAATAGAAAACCAATTCATTTGGTTATTTACTTAACAACACTACACCAATTTGAGGCCAAACAGATTCCAAACTGTGATGTTATGGTCCAAATTTGGTGCCGGATCGTGTTGCGACCTGATGACCTGTTTGTTGAGCTTTGTGTGGCCCCGAGGAAAATTTTTGACCTGTTTTTGCTCATGGGTCGTGGACTCTAATTAGTACTCTCTTGTAGCCCAATATATAAGGGCGTTTAGGGTTTAGATTGGGTGGTGAGACCGTGAGAGAGACACTGAAATTCGTACAGAATTGAGAGTGAGGGGCAGAAACTTGTAATCTCCGATTTTACACATAGTGAAGACTTTCATAATTATTACTTGGTTCGCTGCGTTTGTCGTAACACAAACATTAATGGAAGACCATTTGCTTCAATCTCACTATGCTCTACCCTCCCAACGTTCTATTTGACTCTTGATTGCTGTCTGTCACAGCAACAGCCGTTCGCGATCTGACTCTTGATTGTGTTGACCACCCTTGAGTTATGTCCTCATGCAACGGCTTGCTCTGTTCGTTTAATTCAATTGATGACATTGCCCTCTAGAATCATTTGACCAAAAAACACTGGAAGTTACGGTCACACCGATTGAGTTCTTGCCTGAATTCTGGATTTCCCATTCTATCGTTTGCGGGTTTGGGTATGATTCTAATCAGTAAACACTGCAAGTTGGTGAGGATAATACAGTTTGATTTCAAAGATAATGAATCATTTTTTTCCTTCATAAATTAACATTTACAGTGAAATTGAATTTTCAGAGCCTGAGTAAATGGATAAGAATTTTCATATGAATGGGAAAGTTATGTTGCCAATTGGCAACCCACCAGCTTAATAACGTCCAAATCAACTCGTTCGAGAAATGAGAGAGAAGAGCTAGGGTTCTTCCAATGAACAAGAGTGAAGTTCGAAAGAGAGCAAAGAGAGATCGAAGAATAGAGTGACAGAAATTTCAGAAAGAGATTGAAGCGTAGAGAGAAATTTTGGTATGAAATTCGTACAGAAAGGTTTTGTTAACATTTGGAATCTGCATGACACCAAACCTTGGATTATAATTAAGTGAATTATTAAATTAAGTGGCTTTTTATTAACCCTCACATTTAGTTTCAAGGAAAACAGGAGAGAGAGATCTCTGAAGAGGATCCAAATCCCAGATAAACAGTCAGAAGATTCATTTGATCCCTTTTTTTTCCCCTTGTGTGTGTGTGCCAGTTGGGAATGGAATTAGAAGAGCTGACAACATTAGAGAAACATCCTTTCGAGGAAAATGATTCCTTCTGAGGAGGTTGTCTCCGCTAGATTATGACACCATACCAAGTTCTGAGAGAGTAGTAACATGTACAGTGAACACTTGTGTACATATCCGAATGGAGTCAATAACTTTCTTGTATGGTGTGTTACCATCTTCCAATTGCTAATCTCCTATCCTCTTCCGCCATCTTGCAAATAGTGCATTGTAAAGATGGGCCTTAAGTCATTGGGTGGCAGGGTTCATGTATGAGAAAGCAATTTCTATAAAATTTTGATATTTCTCAATTAAGTAGCGGTACTAGGAAAGAAGAAGTACATAATTTCAATTCTTCAACAAAGATACAGATCTATAAGGACTATATGCTGAGCTCATTTTACTGGGAATCATTTATGTGTATAGTTAATATAATTTGCTTATTCATACATAAGCATTATCACAGAACCTTGAAATGCAAATAGGTTTATACAATGCTTTCATACTTATTATGATCTTTAATTCGAAAAGAGTTCTATTTCTTGTCAAGATTGTCACTCATTTATATTAGTTTATATTTTTAAGCCTCTAATTCTTCAAGTTTATGCTTCACATGTGAAAGGATCAACTTTTGAATGCCTAAAACAACCTTAAAGTATGAATTCAGAATAATTTAAAGACAAATGTTTTGAAACTATGCATCTAAGAGTGATTTCAATTTGACGTGCTAAGAAAGAAAACTTCAATTTGATGTGCTAAGAAAGAAAACTTCAATTTTGAGGTGCTTACATGTAGGCGTGGTCTTTTTCAAACTAACATAGAGAACAACCAAAGGTTGTACAGTGAACCGGAGATATCATCTTCAATCAAGCTCTAAAGCCACCAATCATGTCATGATTCTGACAAACTCACCTATTTGTAAATTCTTTGCCAAACTAGAATTGAGAAGAACGCTTCAGAAGCTCTGAAACAACCATATATATTTTTAATCAGAAGTAAGCTTCACAACCATTGCATACTTGAAGGCACCGTAGCAATTCTCTCATCCAAAAGGAGGAGTCACCAACTCATGTCCAGACATTAAGAATTACCTTTTCCTGAGATAACAAATAAACATACTTATGCAAGTCAAGACAATAAATAGAACAGAAAAGGGAAGAAAAACATAAAAAGAAAAGAATGATTTCATGTCATGATACTCTTTTTCAAATCAAGAAAACAAATCATTGAAATAAGCTCATTCTATTTATTTTCTTTGCCAAGTAAGTTACAAGGCCTTGAACACTATCCAAAGGCCTCGAACACTATCCAAAGGGTTGAAGTACAAATAGACTCCAAACCCAAACAGGCTTGCAAGGATTGGTAGCTCGTTCTACTTATACTTCACAATGAAAGGATGATTAAACACATAACAATTCAAATCCGTAACTGATATGAAAATACTAACAGAAAAGAAGAATTTATTATATGAAGGAAACATATGACATTTTAAAAGAAATTTACAAAAACATACTATGAAAAGGTGTTCTAGGGTTCTCAAATAAGGAAAAAACATAAGAGTCAGAAGCACACAATGGTGAGATAGATTGACGGCTTTATTTCTCAATTACAAGGGAGGTTCTTAATATAATAAAGTTTTATATTGTATGATTGAGTTCTAAAGCAAGAAGCTTCATTGAATACTTGAAGAAAGGTCAGCCACAACACCTACACATCAAAGGATTGGACGACTAGTCATTGGAGATCAAATCAGCGGTTAGAGAAGTGGATTGCGTGAGTGAGCGGATTTGTTGACGAAGCAGACAGCCTAAAAACTCGAGTTTGGTGTAAATCTATGTTCCTATTTTGATGCCTTTTTTTTTTTAAAAAAAAACTTCTTGTTATCTGTTTACTGGAAATGGAGTTTTTCCATTTTAACTTTGTAATGTCAGGGTATGCCCTCAATTCTCCTTCTATACTTCTGTTCCTTCCTTTTAATACAAGTCCATTTAGGGAGAAAAAGAAAAAATGGTAACCCAGTTGGAAACTTCTTTCTGGACTAGGTCTCGTGGTTTTTCTCCATTGGGATTTTCTATGTATAAATCGTGTGTTTTGTATGGTTGCATGATTTATTTATTTTTTCTTTCTCTACTTAATTGAATTATATTGTTGTGTTCTAAATATAATTGTCATAATTTAAAAATCAATTACTCCTAATTTTTTTGAATGGCAAAAACGGATTACTCCTAATTGATATTGGACAAGATCTATTCATCTTCCTCTAGATCTAGGTCTTGTGGTTTTTTCTCCTTCGGGATTTTCTACGTAAAAATCGTGTGTTTTTGTATGGTTGCATAAATTATTTATTTTTCCTCTCTACTTAATTGAATTATATTGTTGTGTTCTAAATATAATTATGATAATTTAAAAATCAATTACTGTTAATTAAAACTGGACAAGATCTATTCACCTTCCTCTAGATCTATTTTGAGCCTTGCGCTAACTCTACAATCAGAGCTTTACAATCCTAGACTTCTCAGTTCTCTGTGTCCCATCTATTAATATATATATATTTTATATGTAAAAGTATATTAGAAAGCGTCCCCAAGGACCCAAGGAGCCCAAAAAACTAACTGTCTCATATATAGATGTACAATATCTACCCATGACCCAACAAAAAAGAGAGCAAATGAAAACAAATTTTACATTCCCAATCAAAGATTCCTCTCCATCAAAGGATATATTTAAATAAATTTCTTAATTTTGAACACATAAATGACCCTTCTTGGACATATGCTAACATGTGGCATTGTGACTAATGAACCTTGAACTTTAAACAAGGCTTTCTTCTTTAGCATCGATAAAAGTCTAATTAAAATAAAAATTACACTAATGGTTTATATAATATTTACAAAAAGTTGATCTTTATTAAGAAACAAAAGCCATGAGAAGGTTTTTATTTAGATAGCAATAATGTGAATAGGAGAAGACTCACTAAATTATGTGTGTGCCTGCATGTACATATAATTACCTACATGCACAAACACATCCATACAAATATATGTCATGATATTACATACTTCTCTATGCGACATGGGCAAGTTTAACAATATGATTTATAAGTTACAACTTTCATGTTACATTGATTAAATATTCATCTACCATATTTAATATAACTTCATATATAAAAAATATATAATGTCTTCTTGTATTCTTGCACATGCTTCCTAGGACAAGAACAAATAATTTGTTGCATTTAAACTAGTATAAGAAAGAAAAAGAAGATTTTAAGGCAAAAAAACAATAAATTTTCATCTATTTTCTCAAAAAAAAGAGAAGAATAAAAGAAACTAGTTATTAGGTTTCAACTGACAGACACATATTGAAGAGACTGAGTGAAGACCCGCGGGCTGACACTACAGAAGAGAAGAACTAGGACTGTATTCGTATTGTGGAGGAGCTCTGTATGAGAGTCTCGTAGCCTAGAAAAAAGTAAGAACTGAGGTGAATCAGCTGGTTCAAATGGAAATTCTCTTAAGACATGGGAACTCTCACCGTTCAGGTGAAAGGCGACTCCTTTCTGGTTTTGAGCCAGCTTACATGAAATCCAGCCAGAAGGTGCCCACGTGCTTGTTCAAGAGGGGCCGGAGAGCGAGTGGTTAGTGGTGAGGTATATATTATCATACTTTTCCCTATATTATCATTCAATTTTGCCATTGCTCTCTTTCAATAGCCTTGCCCCAAATAGTACATTTCATTCAATCACTTCAATTAATGCTCTTTCCCAAATCAATGACAAGTGAATTATAGCCTTGGCACATTTCTTCTTTGACTTAATTTTAAGTTTAATGGAAAACTATAAGGATTTTTTTTTTTCTTTATTTTCTTTATTTTTTTTCTTTCTCTGAAGTTCAAGAGATTTTTGCCTTCTTCTTTGAAGTTCCAGTGCCTAATCTAGTGAGTTTATATACACTTAAAAATAGCATGTATGACAGAAAGGAAAAAATAAAAATAAAATAACGTTCAAGATCATTTATCTAAGGGACTTCGTCCATTCAACCTTCTAAAAAAAAAAATTAAAAAATAAAAAATTTTCCATTCAACTGACTAATAATTGTTCTAACCAGTTGGGTTGTAAAAATTTGGGAATCATAACATCAGTAAAAGTTATAAAGATCTAACTCTTCTCCCCCCTTCATCTTCTCATCAACAAAACAAAAACCAGAAAAAGGGTTTGTAGTTATACATGTTTTTATACAGTCCAAAGCCTATTTCTCAGCAAATATGTATACAATTTTAATCATATGTATACCCTAGTATGTACGTGTGTCTATATGTGTAGGAAAGCTTAGGTCAAACATATTGCAAATGAAAACAATCTACAACCGAAATTGAGGGTTTTAATAGCCGATTTACAGTGAAAAAAAAAGTTTCGTACGAACTTACAGTGAATAACAGAGTTGGTGTTGGCCGGAAAGTCATCGGCGGTTGGATTCGCGGCAGTTCCAAGTTGAAGGGGAATATAGTCACACAAGGGTTAACAGAGTCTCGGTGGATCTTTCGATCCCTTGAGTTGACACGTGGGGGTAATATGTCTTATATACATATACATATTATATATCTGAGTCCATTTCGTATTGCTTTTTTTTAAACAAATAGAAGATTGAAAAGGATGAGGGAGAGGATTTTTTTTTTTTAAATATTGACTTTTGAAGGCATGTTTTAGAGTCAAAAATATTTTTTTCATAAAATGAATTTTTGAAACTTTTTTACCCGAAAAACTATTCACTTATTTTCTATGGTTTCCTTAACCATGGTTAGCTTTGAAAAATTTTAGAATATTTTGGAGGTATCATATTCTGTGTTTCTAAGTTATTAGATGTGGTCAGTAACAGATCCAAAAAATTTTATGAAGGAGGGCGGTCTTTTAATTTATGCGGAAAAATTTATGTGATGGATCCATTTTGTAATTTTATAGGGTTTTTTTTTAAAAAATTTTAAATAATCTAAAGTATAAAATGCAAAAAATAAAAAATAAAAAATAAAAAAAATAGTTTGGCGAATTGTAATTTTAGTGGGGGCATCTTCATAAATTCTTAAACTATAAAATACAAAAAATTAAAAAAATAGTGGGGCGAATTGTAATTTTAGTGGGTGCATCTTCATAAATTCTTAAACGTTAAAAGTATAAATGCAAAAAAAAAAAGAATCCAGTGGGAGCATCTTCATAATTTTTTTTTTAAAAAAAGGTATAAAATGAAAATATAAAAAATCCAAGTCCTATGTTCGGTCCGTACTTGGATGTGGTGGTGGGGCCTACCACATAGATGATCCAATCACAAATAGATCTTGGGTACGGTAACTCAGGTATTGTAGAACTTCTAGTTAGTTTTTTGAATTTGCTTTGTTAACAAAATTTGCATAAGTGCAAAAACATCTTTGGTTTAAGGTTCACACTTCAAACAAATATTTATGAATAATGTATTTATGAATGATGTTTTATTTATTTATTTATTGACTTTTCGAGGCATGTTTTAGAGTCAAAAATATGTTTTTCATAAAATGAATTTTTGAAATTTTTTTATGCGAAAAACTATTCACTTATTTTCAATGGTTTCCTTAACCAAGGTTAGTTTTGAAAAATTCTATAATATTTTGGAAGTATCATATTTCGAGTTTCTAAGTCGTTGGATGTGGTCAGTGACCGACCTAGAAAATTTTGTGAGATAGGAAGGACTTTTAATTTGTGGAGAAAAACTTATATGGTGGGTCTATTTTTGTAATTTCAATGGAGTTTTCTTCATAAATTTTAAAAAATTTAAAGTATAAAATTAAAAAAAAAAATTAGTGGGGTCGAATTGTAATTTTAGTGGGGGCATCTTCATAAACTCTTAAACATTTGAAGTATAAATGTTAAAAAAAAAAAAGAAGAAGAAGAAAAGAATCCAGTGGCGCATCTTCATAAATCCTAAAAAAAAATGAGGTATAAAATGAAAATATAAAAAATCTAGTGGCATTCGTCCCAACTGGTCCTATGTTGAGTCCGTACCTGAATGTGATGGTGGGACCTACCACATAAATGATCCAATAACCCAGAGATCTCGAGTACGATAACTCATATTGTAAAACTTCTAGTTAGTTTATTGAATTTGTTTTGTTAACAAAATTTGGTTAGTGCAAAAACAACTTTGGTTTAATCATACTTCAAACAAAATCCAGGCCTCAGGACTAAATTTCTCCTTTTGAAGCTGAGGGATCAGATCAGTTGATCATGTTGACTTCAAGGTTCATACAGTATGGTGAGAGCTTTTGATGTATATGGTGTTTCTCATCTGAAAGCAAATGTTTTAACCAGTGAACTATTGTGAAAAAAACAAGTGAAAAAAAAAAGAACTATTGAATAATATCTCAGACCAGCAAAAGCATACAAGAAATTTACAATGCTAATATATGGAGTAGAATCAATAACCAAGATCACCTCGTGCGGTACAAGATATTTTTATGTCAATTACGCAACATAAAACATCATTCATAAATATATCAGTTATATTCCATGCAAGGTAAGTTGTTACATAAATAATCTAAAGTTCCTTAGAGCGTCTTTGAATTCTACTAGAGTATATTATTATACTATATATTAAAAACTGAAGCACAAAAATGTCCCTATTTTGAAAATGAAAAGCAATAACTTGTTTTTAAAAGTGAACAAAAAACAAATAAATAAAAGAAAAGAAAAAACATTTTGATAAACAATAACAAATTGGTCCTAATTAGCTTCTTATGCTTTCATAGACAACGTATAACCAATACTCCATGTGCTTTTTTTCTCTTTCCATGTTTGCTCATTATGTAACCAACCAAGAGGATCAATTGCTCTGTACGTTCATTTTTTTCTCTGGTGTGCTCAGCAGAAGGTTTCTACTTGTTTTATAATTTAAAAGTCAATATTATTTGAAATAAAATGAGACACAAAATTAAGAAATCATGTATTAGGCCAATTTTATTAGGTTGGTAGATGTGTGTTTAAGCTCATTTTTTCATAATTCAAATGCCTAATTTGTGTGTGGTAAATGGTAATGTTTTCTTTCTAGAACAGATGCATCTTTCTCTTGTTGTTTGAATTACTCAGTTCAGAAGACGGGGATGGATTAGAGAAATAGGTTAAACTCTTGGAGAGTTTGATGGACAGGATTGGTCAAGGGTCTGTTGAATGACTGAGTCAAGGTTCCGTAGCAGTGAAGAAGTACATCTACAACACTCGGGTGATTAAGACGAACTTCTCTTTTCTTTTGTTTGGATGTAAAATATTTTTTAAATTTTATGGTGTTTGGTTGTTGTAAAACCTAACAAAAATAATATATCTATCAACTTTTAACAAGTTATTTTACACGCCCGCCCGATGGACTCGACCTAAATTTTTGCCAAATACCGAAAAAAAAAATATATATATATAATTCCATCAAGTAGCCAACCATCAAGTGTACAATTCATATGCTGATATTTCTGGGTGATAATCAACAATTCACGATCATATATTATTCATATTATGTTATAGTCCTTCCAAACATTGCAAAAGTAACAAAATCCTGAGACAGAAAACAACTAAAAAAAAAAAAACCACAACGAACCATTGGAAGTTTCTGTCACATGATTTTGTATGAGATTATGATAGAACATTTGATGAAAGAAAAAGTGTTTATGATCCGTCTCCTTTCTATAGACATCAGCTTCTTCTCAAAAATGCGTTCCTGATCTTGTGGAGTTCCATTAAAACATCCCTAATATCCATCCGTTCTTTTGGCAATTCAGAAGAACATATGACTCCAATACGAAGGATCAACGCCACGCAGTCTTTTATTCCATCAATGTTGAGTTGGTAGGTCCTTTCAGACACGTCTTCCTCTTCCAATGAGAATAGAGAGTGGACAATCTCCAACACTCTACCTGACAGCACCATCCTTTCAGTAAACATGTTGTTGGTGGGCTTTTGTCCCGTAAACATCTCTAGTAAGAGAATTCCATAACTGTATACGTCACCTTCGGTTGAAAAGTCCTCACCCATACCATATTCTACACAAAATGATAATAATAAATTAATTAACATATTGCTTAGACATTGCAGTAAAATCTAAGAAATATCCTCACCCATACCATATTCTCACCCATGCGCAACTTTCTCAAAGTTCTAAATTATTTTAATATATATTATGACATTGCAGTAAAATTTTACAATTACACCATGCTCAACTTTGTTATGCAAAACAGAGTCATCTCGAAAACAACAGGATGTGTTTCAAACTATAATCTAAGAAATTTTCATATATTTTAGTCAAAACCTTAATAAATCCCTTGAAGAAACTAAATCAGAGTATGTATCAAAAGGTAGATGTATAAAACTATGAAATAGTTGTATGATTATAAGTTACCTGGCGCGACATAACCAATTGTTCCTCTAATCCCAATTGAAGAACTAGATTGCGAACAACTGGGTTTACCTCTCACGGCTCCAAGAAACCTTGATACCCCAAAATCACCCACATGAGCGCAGAGCTCATTGTCAAGAAGAACATTACTTGGCTTTAGATCACAATGAATGATTGTTGTTTCACAATGATTGTGAAGATAATCCAGTGCAGATGCTACATCAATCGCAATGTTTAGCCTTTGTATGAAATCCAAGCTCTTTGGATGCTGCTGCACAGATTGAATTGGGTGTAACCAGCCCTCTAAAGTCCCATTTGGCATGAACTCAAAGACCAAAGCCTTGAACTCATTTCCTTTGAAGTCCATGCTTGAGCAACATGTTATGACCTTGACCATATTGCGGTGGCGAATTTTCCTCAACGCTTCACATTCAGCCAAGAAGCTCTCGTTGGCTCCAGGTAGTTGAAGGTTGAATACCTTCACAGCAACAATTTGTTCACTGGAGTTGAGAATTCCTTTATAAACAGAACCATAATTCCCCGCACCAATCAAGTTGGATGAAGAGAATCCGTTGGTAGCATGTTGGAGTTCTGCATAAGAGTGTGTTGGATACTGATTTCCCAATGGACAATCTGCAGAAGACTTGAGTTTTGACCTTTTCATCAGATAAAAAAGAGCAGAAACACATGCTATCAACAAAATTGTAGAAAGAGTGATACTTGTCACAAGAATTATCACTTTACGGGCAAAAGGCCTTCTTGCCCTTTGTGTGGGACATGCGGACAATTCCAGTGCCTTGATTCCTCCACAAAGTTTGTCATTTCCAACAATTGAAAATGCACTAACATTCATGAACACTCCTCCATTTGGAACTTCACCCTCAAATTTATTATATGAAAGGTCTAGAGATTCAATCAATCGGAGCTCGCCTAGAAAGCTTGGAATCCGTCCAGACAAACTATTACGAGAAAGATTTAGGTCTCGAATTCCTTTTAATTGCTGAAAAGAGGATGGAATAGTACCTTCAAAAAGGTTACCCTCCATATGCAGGACTTCTAACACTAGACACTCACCAAGACTGCTTGGGATTTTTCCAGAAAGTTTATTTTCTGAAATATCCAATTGCCCAAGATTTTTCAAGTTACCCATTTGTGATGGTAGTGCTCCTGTTAGATAATTGTGTTGCAAGAAGAGACCAACAGTGAGGGAAGAAAGTCCAATAAGTTGCTCGGGTATTGCACCAGTGAGGTGATTAAGTTGAAGATCCAATCCTTGAAGATTTGTGCAATTTCCCAATGCAACAGGTATGCTTCCCTCTAGCATATTTATTCCTAATGAAAGAATGCTCAACCGAGACATGTTGCCAATAGATGATGGAATTTTCCCTGAGATGTTATTTGCAGAAATGTAGAGTTCTTCCAACTTAGAATTTTTTCCAATGGATTCAGGAATACTTCCAGTGAGCATATTATCCTCTAAGCCTAAAAACTTTAAGTTGATGAGGTTCTCAATCCCTTGGGGTATGATTCCAGATAGGTAGTTCTGATTTATCCGAAATGAGTTGAGATTGATGGATAGATTTGCAATTGAATTGGGCAGTACACCCCGAAAGTAATTCCCACCTAAAGATAAAAATCCTAGAATTGTACAGTTTGTTAATGAATCAAGAAAGCTCAAGTCATTGGTTTTTTTAGTTCCGAGTCGGTTACTATTAATATTTAGCCATTCTAGATCTTGAAGGTTGCCCAAATTAATTGGTACAGACCCACTGAAAAAATTAATACCAATATCTAATTGAACAAGTGCTGAAGCGTTAGCCAATGATGGTGGGATCGGCCCATAGAATTGGTTAATATCAAATAAGAATGATTGTAGTTTTGGAAGGGTCAATCCCAGTTTTTGGGGGAGGGTTCCGGTGAACTGGTTGTCAGCTAGAGCGAAGCCATGGATGGACGACATATTGTAAAGCTGGGTAGGAATCATTCCGGACAAATTGTTGGAACTCAATTGAAAAAACTCTAAGTTGGAAAGCTTTCCAAGTTCAAAAGGAATGCTTCCCTCTAGATTGTTATAGCCGAGAAAAAGTTTGCGAAGAGAGGAGAGATTACCCAGTGAAGGTGGTATGTTGCCAAAGAAATGATTTTTAGAAAGATCCAATAGTAAAAGATTAGTAAATGATCCTAGTTCGATAGGAATTGTTCCTACAAGATTGTTTGAAGATATATTGACGACTCTGATGTCTGAGCAATCAGTCAAATTGGTAGGAAACTCACCTTGGAAGGAGTTGCTATAAAGTGAGAGATGTTGTAGGCGAAACAATCGACCAATTTCTTGGGGGATAGTGCCATGGAAGTAGTTGTTCTCAAGACTGATCTCTCTAAGAAAGGTAAGGTTTCCTATGTGAGTAGACAAGGAACCAACTAATTTCAAGGATGACAAGTTCAGGGTGGTCACCCTCTGATGCCGGCGACCACATGTGACTCCTTTCCAGTTGCAAAAGTGGATAGAATCATTCCATGAGCTAAAGACCTGGAAAGGGTCTTCAACAATTTGATCCTTGATGGCTAGCAAGGCTTGCTTGTCGGTCTCATTTGCGAAGCCGAAAGTGGAATTTGAGGCAAGTAAAATGAAGCTTGCATGAAAAAGGATGTAAAAGAGGAGGGAAGTTGAACTTAATAGCTTTGAAACCATATCTTTGTGCTTATGAAAGCTGACAGGGTGAGTGTAAACAGAGTATGTTGGAACAAAAAAAGCACAAGCCAATATTATCTTATATTGTAGTGTGTTAAGAAGCTATGTGAACAGAAATTATGCTTAGTGCAGTTACAGTATAGCTGCTCAACATTCATAGAATAAACTATGAAGGAAAATGAAGGTGAAAGGTGATGACTCACTACATCCATTTCATTAGGAATTGATGCAGGGGCGTAGCCAGGGGGCTGGAGGGGGCCATGGCCCCCCTAAAATTATGGAATTTTTTTTTTAAGTATAGGTCCTCCGCCGCCCCGGCGAATTTTTTTTTTTTTAGTTATATATATAATCTATTATATACATCTGATATCCCATTCTCTCTTCTCTCTCTCCACCTTGTTTTTCCTATTTTCAAATGGTATGATTTTGATTTTTGAACATGGCATCTCAGTCAATCAAAGTTTATATTATTTTCATCAAATCAAACACCGTTTTGTTTTCAGATTCAAAATTCTCTCACTTTACATTTTGATTTTTCTATTTCCAAATCACTTTACATTTTGATTTTTCTATTTCCAGATCTATGATTTTGAACGCACTGGATCTCAAAAATCACACCGAATGGTGGCTCTCTTCGTTTTTCAATCACTCAAAGTGCAATATTATTTTCCAAAAAAATAAAAAATCAAATTGCTCTCGTTCAAGACCCAATAGCGGAATAGGTAACCAATTTTCACCAATATTATTTTCCAAAAAATTTAAAAATCAAGTTTGCCTAAAATTTTTTGTATGAATATAATGAATAGTAATATTATTTTGGCTTAATTTTTTTTTTTTTTTTTTTTTGGTAGGCTTAAAATGGTCTTATGGAAAAAAAAAATTTAAGTTTGCCCCCCCCCCCAACCCCAACATCCATTTAGGTACAGCCAAATTTTTTAGTGTAAACCAACCTCCATTTATTTGACTGAGTAAGCTTGCAGAAACTTCACATAATGTAGTTAAGAAAACACTTTATTTGCTTTCATGCCGTCCCGTGCCATTGACTCTGTATGTTTAATCCACATGTAGGCCGTGTGATGATTCATGATGATTCATTTTGCTTCATTGTTCAATTTGCAGTGTTAGGTCACTGAAGAACACAGAACAAAAGAAAGCAACTAGGACTGCCGTTTTTTCATAGAAAATGTATATATATTTATATTTATATTGGTCAACGTCCTTCATCAAGTCTGTCCACCGGGGATGACTTCCTACAATAGTTTTTATGTTGATTTGGGGCCGGCGGAAGATTTTTGGGTGAGCTGAAGACATTTGACTCCTTCCCATCTCTCTCTTATAAACAAAGGAAATTGGATGTTAAGAATCAGCCGGAATAAAATAGTTTAGACCTCTGTTAAATTTGAAGAAAATTTAGTTTTATATAAATAAAGAAAATTGGATGTTAAGGGGCTGTTTGGCATCTACTTTGTTTTTGTGTTTTTGTTTCAGGCCCGCTACAGTAACCCAAATGAAGCCCAAAATATGTTTGGTTGGTTTTGTTTTGTTTTGCACAGTTATAAAGTATTTCAATAAAGAGGCCCAAAACTAAAAACACAATTTTGGTGTTTTATCTTGTTTCAGTACTGTTTGGACAAATTTTCACTGTAGCGGAGGAAGTAGCCGGCCCAACTTGTTTCATGTATATAACATTTTAGGTCATTTTTTGGGCAAATTTTCTCTCTCCTTTCCTGATACTCTCTCTGCAATTCAAGGGCAATATCAAATACAACACCGAAGCTGGATTTTCATCACCACCGACCCAAGCCTACCTAAATTGAAGAAGATATGAGGTAGAAAAATCGAAGCGAAGAGTGAGAAACCTCAGAGAGGGCCAAACGGAGAGAAGCGAAGAGAGTGGTGAAGCTCTCGGCAATCGCCACGAAGTCCCTCTCGACCACTTTGAGTGTTCCCAGAATCTCTTTTTGACCAAATTTCGAGGGTTTCGATTCACCAACTCCGTTATCTTCTTGATCTTCCTGAGAATTCATTCTGGTGATGCGTTGTTGATTGCTAATTCGTTTCAGTATCTGAAATTAGGGTTTCTAAGGAGATCGTTGTTGTCGTTTGAGCATTGTGTGCGCCTCCTTCTTGTGCATCCATTTTCAGGTGGTTCTTCGAAGGTCACACCAGTTGGCTGCGAATTTGATCGTGAATTTGTGACCAATTAATGTTTGGGCAAGTTTTCAATCCGAGCCCTTAACTGGATTTTCATCACCACCGATACATGTGTGTATATATATGTATATATATATATATATTTTTTAATTTTTGCAACAAAGATATTACATGTGTATATAAACTAGTTATTGCAAAAATTAAAAAATATATATATAAATATTTGTGTGCCCAAACATGTTTTTCATATTTTTATTTCTAACATTTCCATAACAAAGCATAGTTCCCAAACGTACTTCCGAATTTTCTCCAAAACGCTCTACAACAAAAACACTGTTTCTGTTTGAGTCAAAAACAAAACGCCAAAAACAAAACGCGTGCCAAACGGGCCCTAAGACTTAAGAAGTTATATATAAATTATTTGAATATAACATTTAAATGGGTAACAAATTAACCATGCCATAAGGTGTTCTTTAGCTGTAGCCACTGCATCCCCTGTCCAACATTCTTTTCACTATTCTGTCCGTTACGTACTTATTGGCGTATCCGCCGACGAAACCCATCGCGTTGTCAAAAACACTGGTCCCTATAATTACTAGCTCTCATTTTCTTGTTAATATTAAATTCAATTTTCTGAATTTGTTGCTTCGAATTTGAAATTTCTTTCTATAAATCTAAGCTCGTTAATCAAATTGTTTCTGCAATGTGTTTTTGAATGTACCATTCTTTTATTTTTATTGTTTGGGTTAAAATCATAATAAATAAAATAAAAAAAACCCTCCTATTGTTAAAAAAAAAATGTGCATAACACTACCAACAGAATTAAACAACCCGAACTAACAATGTATAAAATTGTACAAACCCGAGAGAACAAAGGCAAGAAGGCAAAGATTACAAATAAATAAGGGTGGCAAATGGGTGGGTTGGGCTGGGTTTGGTCTGGGTTGAAAATGAACGGGTCAAACTTATATTCAATTCGTTCAGAATGGATTGAAAATGGGCGGGTAAAAAATGTATAGGGTCAACCCGTTATGACCCGTGACGCTTTAATTATTATTATTTTTTAAATTATTTTTTTTTTAATTATTTTTTTCGTTTTAAAATTTTATTTAATAACAAATAAAAAAAACAATCTCAAACTGAGCAATATTTATTGACTCATTTTAGAGAGAGAGAAGTGAAGAAAAGAGAACAAATTTCTAGAGAGAGAAACTTAGAGAGAGGAGATTGATGAGAGACAAATCTAGAGAGAGAGAGAGATCGTGAGTGAGAGAATTTTAGATAGAGAAAAATAAGTTGAGTGCAATATATAATAGATGTGTATTGTGTGTATAAGGAAAAAACAAAACAATGCAAACACAGATCAATCTTTTCGCTAAACATAAATATCAAACACTTAAATAATTCTTTGATTGCAGAGAGTGTACCAAAGAGGACGAGAAATGAGGAGTTTCAAACACTTTTAAATGCAGAGGCCTGAGTTTCTCCCAAGCTCTGCCTCACCTGAAGGAAGGCACCACTGGAGGAGTGTTGGGATTTATATGCCCTGGCATAGCAAATTCCTATTTGGATTAAAGTGACATAAGTTCATGACGTTTCTGAAATATTTATGTTTTTATACAATTAGTGAATTCAATGTATTATGTTTCGATTCATTATAGAATTAATAGTGTCCACTTGATTACAAGAGATATTTATATATGTATGTGATGGCGATCAATACATGAATATAAATAATAATCATAAATGGTTCATAGTCGGTAATTATGGATGGACTCATAATTAATTAAGACTTTAACTGGATCCGCGTTAGGTTGAGATATATTGCGAGAGCCGTCGTATGCAATTGCTCCCTATCACCGTCATGGCATTTGACTCTTAAGCATGAGAAAATTATAGACTCTTTAATTAATTAATAATTACTTTGATTTATTCGGCGGATTCTTCGGGATCCTTAGACCGACACTTTGGGTAGTTATGTAATTAATAGTTAGAGGGCTATATTTTCAATATTTGCATCATTGCTACTTGTATTTATTTTGTATTGATTATGATTAATCACAAAGTAAATTCGAAGGCCTTCGTATATTTTTAGACAAAATGATTTATTATATATTTATTTATTTAAATTATTATTTTTGTCAAACAAATGTTTTTATTGTGATCGAGTCAGAAATAATCAATGGTACGAAAATAAATATATTAATTAAGTAGTCGGATTGATGGCTTTATTTATCCGATAACTAATTATGCATAGAGAGGTCAAAGTACAATATTGACTTAGTGGTTATTTATTATTTAATTGGAGTTCAATTAATTTCTTTTAGTGGAGTAGAAATTAATTTATGAATTAATTGAATTGGGTTCATGGACCGGGCCAATTATTAATTCATTGTAGCCAATAAAATAATAGGCCCAATGGATTCTCACTCATAGCCCAACTTGATATTGAAATCATATTAGATTTGAGACATGTGAATTAAAGATTTAGAAGGATTTGTTGTTTCTTTTTCTTTATTTTTTTTTTGTTACCTATAAATATACATGGTCTATGTATATTTTTGGGGTGATTTTTTATGAGAAGGAAAAAAAGGAATAAATTTTCTCTCTCTAGAAAATTAGGGTTAGTGTTCTTATCTAATGGAGGCTCCCACAAGCCTAGTTTTTCAAGGTCATTCATGGAGGTTTATGAGTGATTCCTAAAGGCAAGACCATTACCAAGAAGATGGAGATCCATGGAAAAGGTGTCTAGCAAAAGGGATCTACAATAAGTGAGAACATTCACTTTAGAGGAGAGATCTAAAGTTTACTCAAACCTTGATATAAGTATTCAATCTTTTAATTGAATGATACATCATGTTTTATTTTTGCATAAAACTTGTCTCTATGTAATGAATCAAGATCTATAAATTAAAATCTCTCGAAAAGTTTTTAAAACTAGCACGTTTCCCAACAAAGAGATGATTCATTTGGTTTTTTAGCAAGGCAAATTTGTTATGGGCTATGACTAGTTTTTAGATAATGGGTTTATTTAAATAATTCCCTTGTTCTATGAAATGATTCCCTTCCCTTTTTTTTTTTTTTTTTTTTAGAGTAAGTGTATTGGCCCCACAACATACGCACCACTCAAGTCAGAAATATGGCTTGAAAGCGAGACCTCAAAGACCTACTTTTGACAATCCACCTTCTAGACTTTGTAAAAACACAATACAGTATATTTTAAATTATATGACATTTCCAAAAAATAGTAATTCCTTAGGCTTTGGTTAGTGAATGACAAAATCACCCCATCATATCACTAATTTGTGGGATTTTTTTTTTTTTTTTTTTTTTGATGGGGTCATATTTGAACTTTCAAAAATTTATGCATATAATGATATAAAAAATTAGAATTTCGCCGCCGGGGTGGGGGAGCACATGCTCCGCCACTGTGTGTAAAAATTACCCAATTCATTTTTAACCCATTTTAAATATGATTCACCCAAAATCATTAAAAAGTGGACAGATATGGACGGGTTGATGGGTTGTGACCCATTTTGCCACCCCTATAAATCATAAGGGAACTAGGCCCAGGCCCAGGCCCAAATCTAACTTAAATTATTATATAATCTAAGAAAATAGCAATTGAAAGGGAAGAAAGACGAATTTGGCTGCTTATTGGAGTGGGATGTATTGAAAATGAGTTTTAGGTTTTTGCACAAGTGTTTTAGAGAAACAAAGATTGGCTTGAAGAGAGAAGGCTATATGGGTCTTAAGAGTGTGTGTGTTATTGGAAAACATTGTTTGTGTGTGTTAATGGAGGATGAGATTGCGCGCGCGCGCGTTAACAGGGGATGAGAAGATAGGAAAATAGGTCCTCTGTGTACCACCAATGGGTGGTGATGTTTGTGGCCAAATGGATTGCATGGTGAAGAATAAGTTTTGAATCTCTTATAAAAAAAAAAATTAGATTATTTGTTAAAAATTTACCGAGGGTTATTTAGAAACTTTTTTTACTTAAAAAAAGGGAATTTTTGTGACCAAATCCATTATCTATTCAACCTGTTCCCCTTCTCTTTCTCTATTGAAAGAAAAAAAGAGATTATATTAGATACAGAGAGAGAAACCTAGAAAAGCACAAAATATATCACGCAAAAGATTAACTGAAAGAGAGAAATTCTGCATTGGAGGAAACTTTAATGGGCATGTAGGAAAAATTGTGGAAGGTATGAGAAGGTACATCAAAAATAAATTGCTTAATCTTCGGGGAAAAAATAAATAAATAAATATTTACATCATTACACAAAAATAAGCATTTATATTGTCAGATTATACAAGCATACACATTAAATTGCACGTTGAGAGAGTTTTTGCTTGTCCATGTCTTTGTGAATCCAGAATCAATTAATGCAATCAAATGTCAGTTGGCATTCAAGATCGATAATAAAAGAATCTAATCCTACATATTGACCAAAACTGATAGTAAAATAAGGTTTTGCTAATTTAACCCTTAGAACAACAAAACAGTTCTCTTTTTCTTCCTAACATCCCATGTAAGCAACTCACATGCGATGAGAGAAACTCCAGGAACCAGCACCAAAACCCCCTCCATACGAAATCCCATCCCAAACCACCTCAAGCCTCCATTCCTCCCACCTCCACCACTGTTACAACCCACTAAACGCATCCACACAAAACCACCGCCACCTATCTCAATCCTCAAGAGACCACCCTCCTCAAACAATGATCTAGAACCACATAATGCACTGGCAACAACCACATCTATCACCAAAACACCACCACATCATATACCAAAAAGAGTCACCTCCTCTGCTCCTAAACCAGTCCACTCCACCTCCAGATTCATTGATGATCACAACAACATACTTGCTGATGTTGATCCAGGTAACATCCAAGCTATGATTGATGAAATTTTCAGGCTTAGAGTTGAGCTTGCGGAATTCAAGAGCAACTATAGATACTCACATTTGCTTGAAGAAGTTGAATGGCTTAAAGGGCTTATTGGTGATGGATTGGAACACTAAAAGACCCTAAGGGCACGAATCACTGAACCAAGTGACAGGATCATGCACCAGAACCACATCCTAGACCATGGTGATGATCTTCCTTGCAACACACTGCAACAACCACCACTCTACCAGGGCAGCTCCACCATCCACCACCACCACAACTGCCATGTAACCACCACTACAATTGGTACTGACACAAATTTGAATTCAAATTCAAATCACTTGATATCAGGTATGTCCCAACCTCATCTCTTACCCACTCCCCATGCTTCACCACCTTTTCTAGCAACATGTCCTATGATCACATCTGATTCTCAACCATCTCAACCTATCTTAACTAAGTCAAATTTCAAAACCACCAAACCTTCAAATCAATCTGCAAACTCTGAAAAGCTTATCAAAGAAAGTTCACGTGTCCCATCTACATCCCCTTTACACAATGGTCCAACAATGAATCCATCTCCCATGCCTAGTCACCAGCCCTCACCAAAGACTAATTCCACTCAACCTCTCACCCTTGCCTTGAATGCACCCACAGAGTTTTCTCCATCTACATATACACCCCAACCACCAGATCCCCAACCCAACCCTCCCTCTTAGGCCACTGTTGTCACTAATCCCTCACCAAAGATGACCCTCAACTACCACCACCACTCTTATTCTAATGAGTTCATATCCCCTCCATCTGGCATTGAAGCTGCAGGATTAGCCTCAATGAAATGTAGCCTTTTGGGATTCTTTATGCACAAGAGACTTCCATTTGGAATGGTTCAAAAAATTTCAAGTTCTCTTTGGAACAAAATGGGGCTCATTAAGATCACAAGCTCGGTTAAGGGCCTCTTTGAACTCCATTTCTCCTCTCCTGCGCAGTGTGACTTAGTGCTTGCTGAAGACTATGGTTTTTTGCCAACAAGCCTTTAGTCCTCAAGAAATGGGATTCTGAGTTCAATATGGATAATCATTCCTCATCCATCCTAGTTTGGGTAAAGATTTTTGGACTACCATTACACTACAGGACCAGCCCTGGGCTTAGCTTTGTGGCAAGTGCCATTGGAAAACCACTTTTTGCTGATGCCATCGCTGAGGGCAGAACCAAGACTAGGTATGCAAGGCTTTGTATTGAGATGGAAAGCAGCTCATCTTTCCCAAACTTACTTAAGTTGAAGCTTCACTCAGGAAGGATTGCCAACATCAGGTTTAAGTATCAGAACCTTCCTCTTATCTGCTCAATATGTCACTCATTTGGCTACCACCCACATCCATATCCACATCATTCCCCTAATCCCTCACTTACTTCAACGGACTGGAAAATGGTTCCCTTTTCAAAACCCCCCCCAGTTGAATGCACCACTCCCTTTATTACCCTTCTCCTCCAAGAACACAGTAACCCACTACTTCACTAACAGAGAAAAACTCATTATAGACTTTGTTCCACCTGGGCCACTGTCGTCCTTCAAATCATCCTACATAGCTCCTGCAATGGGAGATATTTCAGATGATCCTTCACAATCTGAAAATGAAGATAGCTCTGACTCAGAACCCACCTTACCTTTACCTTTACTAAAGGACTCCAGTCTAAAAGGCACTATCATCACTACAAGAAGCAAAATGAAGAGAAAGCATAAAGGACCAGGGGCAACAAAGATCATGCTCCCAAGTGGTAAGTTTTTCAATACTATTAAATGGTTTTAGCCATTTGGAACATTAGAGTCCTAAATGGCCTTGACAAACAAAGAGAGGTTAAAGCCCTCATGAGAGACAATAAAGTGGATATAATGTCCATCATTAAGACCAAAGTTAACCTGGTCAATGTTGACATGGTTCACAAGTTCTTAGCTAGTTCATGGAGCTTGACTCACAATTACCATTATTCACCATTGGGAAGAATTTGGATCCTATGGAACCACAACTCAATTGGCCTGCAAGTAATCCATCACACAAGGTAAATGATCCATTGTTCTGCCACTATTCTGAGCTCAAGAACCACATTCTTCATTTCATTCATCTATGGTGCTAATGCAGCTGATGAGAGGAAATCACTTTGGAGTGACATCACAAGAATTTCATCCACCCTCACCACCTTCCCATCGGTCTTAGCAGGTGACTTCAACATCATTATATCACCACATGAGAATTTTGGTGATTCTGATAGAGTCATCAAAATTTAGAGTGTTTACACAATGCAAACCTCGATGACCTCAAGTTCACTGGTCTACTTTACTCCTGGACTAATAAAAGCTTAGGGGTAGCTAATATCTCAAGGAAATTAGATAGAGTTCTCATCAATGATGCTTGGAACAGAACCTTTCCACTCTCCAGTTGCCACTTCCACCCTTATGGCATCTCAGACCACGGTCCTACAATCATCACTCTCACTCTAGGCACACTTATTCCACAAAGGAAGACCCCATTTAGATTCTTCAATTGTTAGAGCAAGTGAAAACTTCTTGGCCATTGTAAGGACTACTTGGGATACACCAATTAGAGGGCATAAAATGTTCCAAGTCATATCCAACCTCAAAATGCTAAAATAGCCCCTCAAACAGCAGTTATCCACTATCTTTTCCGATATCTCAAGAAAAGTACAGATTGCAAAAGAAAAGCTTCATTCTTACCAAACAGCCCTAGATAACCTTCCCAATGACCCCCTCAATGAGAATGCAGGAAAAAGAACTACTCTCCAACTATAAAAAGCTCAAAGAAGCTGAGGAACTAACATTCAAGCAGAAGTCCAAAATTCAGTGGCGTGATTCCAATACCACCTACTTCTTCAAATCCATGACCTCCAGATACAACAAGAACAAGATCACTACTATTTTGAACTCCAATGGTTCCCTCCTTGACACAGAAGTGCTCATTAAGCAAGAGGTAATTAACTATTTCCAAAATTCACCTGGCACTACCTCTCATACTTATCCTAGTACTAATCATCTCTCACCATACATTAACCAAGCCATCAACCCTGACTTTATCCCTTCCCCTAGCCTGATGGATTTAATGCTATGTTTTTTAAACATGTTTGGCCAATTATTTGGCCTGATATATCCCAAGCCATTAAAGAGTTCTTCACCACAGGCAAACTGCTCAAGGAGGTCAATAACTCCTACATTTCCTTAGTCCCCAAAGTCCCAAACCCATCATCCCTTCAAAATTTCAGACCAATTTCATGCTACTCACTTATTTACAAATGCATATCTAAGCTTATAGCAAACAAAATCAAACTAATCCTCCCATCCATTATCATTTAATCACAATCAGCATTTGCAGAAGGTATGTGTATTTATGATAGTATCCTAATGGCACAAGAGCTCCTAAATAGGTATCACAGAAGCTCATGCTCCCCAAGATGTACACTGAAACTTGATCTGAGAAAGGCCTTTGACTCAATTTCGTGGAGCTTCATACTTGACACCCTAAGATTGTTGGGATATCCTTTTACATTTGTTAATTGGGTACAAGCTTGTATAACCTCCACCTCATTCACTATCTCATTCAATAGAGAATTCAATGGTTTTTTTAAGGGAGCAAAAGGCTCAGACAAGGGGATCCTCTATCACCTTTCATATTTGTTATTGCTATGCAGGTGTTCTCATCAATTCTAAGCATGATCACAGCATCTAGCTTATTCAAGTATCATTAGAGATGCAGGGAATTAAATCTTACTCACTTGGTGTTTACTGATGATGTAATGTTGTTTTGCCATGGCAGTATGCCTTCTATACAATTACTACTCAATGCAACTGATATCTTTGGCAACTTGTCTGGACTCTAAATCAACCAAAGAAAAAGTAACATCTTTCTCTCTGGGGTCAAACCTAATGTGGAAGCTGGTATCCTCAACCTGGTGGGCTTTGAGAAAGGCACTCTTCCAATTAGATACCTTGGTGTCCCTCTAATATCCACCATGCTCAAGACCACTGACTGTAAAGCCCTCACAGACAAGATCACAGCTAGGATAAGGCATTGGACAAGCAAACTCTTATCGTTTGCTGGAAGACTCCAACTCCTAAAATCTATCCTCCATAGCACTCAAATCTATTGGAGCACCAAGTTTATCCTCCCTATGTCTATTATCAATGAACTCACTTGCATTTTTAGAGTTTTTCTTTGGACAGGTCCTGAGCTCAAGAAGAATGGAGCAAATATATTATTATGGCCCCCAGTCTGCTTGCCAATCAAAGGATCCCTTCTCTACCTCATGGAACAAAATCGCAATAATAAAGCATTTGTGGAATATCATCAAGCAAAGAGATAGAATGTTATGGGTGACTTGGGTTAATACCTATCTGCTGAAAGGTAGGAGCATATGGGATGTCAACATTCCTAGCCAATGCTCATGGTCATTCATGGTCATTTCCCCCATCAATCATTGCCCTTATTCCTCAGCTACTCATTCCAAACACACTCACATCTCCAAACCCTCACACTGTAGACAAAATCCTTTGGATTCCATCACTATCAGGGAAGTTTTCCATTGTCCACACACTTAAATTTACCTCGCAACACATCCCCTCTGGTCAAAGCTAATTTGGTCCAAGCCCATGATTCCTAAACACTCTTTCATCATTTGGCTTGCAGTTTAATCCAGATTATCAACCCTTAACAGAAAATGCACATCCTTTTTAAATTCCCCCAACCTCTGCCCACTTTGCTCATCTTCACCAGAGTCTCATAACCACCTCTTCTTCAAATGCCCCTTCCATGCTCTTATCTAGCGACTTTCACATACTACCCTCCACTTGGAATGAGCTTGTGGCTTGGGCTTCTCACCATTGGAAGAATAAATCTTCAGACTACAGAGGCTCTATATCTTGATTAGCACTATCATCACTTGTCTACAACATTTGGGCTGAAAGAAACTTGCAAATCTTCAAGAAAAAGAGGACCTCATCAAACTCTCTTCTTTGTTGAATCATTGAGTCAATCAAGCTAAAAATCATATTAGATCCCTAATTGAGTCCTCGATTAATAAACACGTCTTCTATGAATGGGAAATTCCATCTTCCATCCTTCGGCCACCACCCAAGCCTCCGGATTAGAAGAAGGTAGGTGGAACAAGCACCTCGTTGTAGTCTCTACTATTCACCGGATTTGTAGACTGGTAACAGTCATGTGTATTTGCTTCACTTTGGGGTTGTTGGGCTCTACTTGAGCTATATTGCTTTTCTTTGGGCTGGGTTGGGCTTTGTGCTATCCACATAGCATTCCTCAGGCTATTATATTGTATATCTTTTTCTTTCATATAATTACTTTACCTTTTAAAAAAAAAAAAAAAAAAAAAAACATCCCATGTAAGCAATACAAGCAGTGATGCATTATGTGTGTTTTGTGATGTATTTATGTACTAGAAAATACATGACCAACCACTATATCAGTACAAGCTAGTATTATAAAATTAGTCTAAGCAACAAAGTGATAGAAGGTTTGAATAAGGTTATGAATGCACACCAAACAAAGCTTTGTACATAATACCCTGGCTCTTTAAGCTATTATCTGAGCAACATCCATCTAATATTAACAAGCTGCTGATGAATACATTCAAACCACCAAGTCCGACACCACCAACACTACCCCTACCCCCAAAAGAAATGAGTTATAAA